GGAATCTTTTTTTTTCTTTTTTTTATGTATGTTCACCGATTACTCGAGACGCCTCAACCGATTTGGAGTTTTTTTGTTTCATAGATTATACTTTCCAAGTGGTCCCATATAAATTTTATCGAAGCGGTTTTTTAAAAAATCTATTTTCGAAGTCGAATATCTACGTAAAATGAAGGTTTATAACAAATAATTTCTATTTATTATTTACTAGGAAAACAAAAACAATATCCCTCGGGAACCGTATATTTTTCCAGAATAAAAAGTAGCCTATGTGTTATTCCAGACTATAATCTATCTCTGTGCCAAATATCATCCAGATCTGTTCAGCCGTTCTGGCGTGAAAGAGTAACAAACATCATTACACTCTAACAAACTTTCACATTTATAATATTTATACAGACATAGTATGGTTTATTTATAAATTATTTATAAACAAAAGCGGCCGCATCCGCGTGACTCAAGTAGTCATTCTACGCTTCCTGGATTGCAGCTCGTTACTACTCGTACGTCCTATGCGCAGGCGCAGGAAGCGGCAATTTTGATCTAATCTCATAATGTATGCGGAGGTTGGGATTGTATACTCGTCACATACTATTACAGGTAGGTAGGTATATACTTTGTATATTATCATATAAGGATAAACTATAAAATCAAATAATCATTTTAAATAAGTGGTGTTTCTTTAATATAACGAATAATAAAATTAATACCTACTTTCTTAGATTTACGCGAATATTTTACATTTTAAATGAAACAACCTTTTCGGATTTCACGAGAATTTATATTGAATTTTTGATTCCGATCACAATGATGATGATTCACGATGAAATACCTACTATTTGCACGTCATGGAAATGTTGTATCGAAAATGGAAAATATTTGAAATAATCAACAAAACAATACAAAACAGATAATATATTACCAAAGTAAATTTAAAAATAAAAACTTGTAATGCATACTAATATTATAAATGCGAAACTTCGTGATGATGCATGAATGTCTGGATGTATAGATGTATGGATGTTTCTCTTTTCACGCAAAAACTACTGAATGGATTTTAATGAAACTTTATAATAATATAGCTCATACATCAGAATAACACAGGATACTTTTTATCCCGGGAAAAATGTACAGTTCCCGTGAGATAGGTACATATATAAAATGTCAAAAATAATTTAAAGCTAAAATAAAAATGTTTTGTTATGATAATATCTATGGGTAGGTACTAAGTAACTAGTTTGATTCCCGCGTGAAATGAATCCTTACTTAATATTATGAAAATGATTTTTTTTCTTTTTGGTTTATCCTCCTTCAACATAGCAACATAGAATCACGGATCAGGATGAACGTGACATAGGCTTTTTATATCCTAATACAGGCAAATCCTGTAAAATATTACTCTGTTGGAAAACTACTGTAGGTTACTAAGAGAATCACTAGTGGTTGCATTAATACAATAAAATACAGACTGCACATATATATGTATATCTCTAATCTAATTAAGACGTATGTAATGTGTACCATTTACCTGTTATTAGCGGTTGTGGAAGCAGATAATATGGATACCTACAGTAGGTATAACTAGTCCAGACAAGTAAAAAAACATGAGTTAATTATAATTATAGAACTATATGACCTAAGCTTGCTTCGTTTCTTGTTTTTCTGCAGGTAACTTTTTAGGGTTCCATAGCCAAGGGGCAAAATCAGATCTTTTGGTCTCGTCATGTCTTTTAAAATGGCATGAATACTTCAAAATGGCTTTTTCTCTTTAAGCCAATTATAATTATAGAGCTACTAGCGACTCACCCTCGCTCCGCTCGGGTTCGTCCCTGGGGTGGGGTCTGGGACCACCCTTATCCTTATCACTTAGGGGTATGAAAAATAGATAGTAGCCGATTCTCAGACCTACTGAATACGCATAGAAAATTTGGTAAAGCCGTTTCGGAGGAGTACGGTAACTAACATTTTGACATGGAAATTTTATATATTAGATATCTTCTAAAGTAGTCAAGTAGTTTGTGTTTGATATATTTATAAAATTATAATTTAGAAGTATCAAAATACTTCAGTGAAATTTGTGCTAGAGAAGAGACGCGGGTGGTTTCTGATTTATAAAATATTTTCAGTTCCATTCTTCTTGTAACTTCTTTTTCATAGAATCTTTTAAGGAATACAATTAAATAAAAAGTAAGTTTGCAGACGGTATAATGAGAGGTTATACTTAGTATATGTCTGGTTTTACAACATATCTGTATTCAATGCTGCGTAAGTCGTGACCGAAGGTGTTTCCTTCTATAAATATAATAAATATGTTGGGATATTAACACACAACACTATGTAATACCATAGTAAGCTACGAGGCTTGTGATATTGTTACACTATACATATATAACTTGAAATACATACATATTATAAATATAAACAACACCCATGACTGGAGTACAAACATTCGTGCTCATCACACAAATGAATGCCCCCAGCGGGATTCGAACCGGCGACCGCTGGTACAGCAAGTAGGGTCACTACAAATGAGTCAAACTTGCCATCTATTCTATTCTGTTCTGTAAAAGAAATACACTTTCACATTTATATATACATATTAGTAACGATGCCATTACTTCACAATAAAAATTTGCTACCATAAACTTATCTACTTAGATTTTTTAATTAATGGACTGTACAGCTACCACAAAAAAAAACAATTTTGTAAATAAGTTCAGTATAAACCCGAATGCATAAAAAGCGAACTAAAAATATGGGAACTGGTTGACGATGGAACATTGTATTATGAAATTGGAGGCATACATATTTTATTCTTGTTGCGAACAAGATTCGCATCGCATAAATATGTATCTAAAGTTTTTTCATGCCCGCCCGCCCTGAATGCCGCCCGCCCTTTTATATTTTTTGTAATTAGATTAATTCCGTAGCTGTTTTATATATTTTAGAAACCTACCTACTTCAGCAATGTATCTCCAATAGTCTTCGAGTAAAAAGGCACAGCCATTTTACAGACACATACGGACAGACGGATTTTGTGAAATAATAATTCCGTTTTCACCGTTTCTCTCAATAAGTCAGTCAAGGTTGTCGGTGAAAAGTCTCAAATCTTCGTGTTCTATCAGATTAAGGGTCAATTACTATCATTGGGAAAAAAAAAGAAATTAAGTAATAAAGATCAGTTTTTATAAATAAATAAAAAAGCTGTCGTGCTGTTTATATTTTTCTTATGCATAATGGCTTATTAATATTGGATGTCTGAAGCCGAATTTTCAGATATCTTTCATAGTTACTCAGAATATCATTATTTCACAACAGCTAAGTGATCTAAAATCGAATTGAAATTACTATTATAGATTACGAAAGTTTGTATGTGTGTTTGTTACTCCTTCTCGCTGAATCCGTTCGATGGTTTTGGATAATTATTTACAACATAGACAATGACCTGGAGAAATACAGGGTAGGTACTGTTAGGCACCTAAGGACGTAGAGCTAGAGTGAAACGAGAATAAATTAATAGTATTATAAAATATAGTATTTTATTATAATTAATATAAAGTCGGTCAGTGTCAGGAAACACCCGGTTTCCTACCACGCGAAGATCTTTTCGCATTCTGCCCTTGCCTCATAAATTAGGTTATAAAAATTTAAACCAGTTCTGGGGAAACCCAAACATTAAGTAATGTACATACATTGTAGATGTTGAATCTCATCAAAGAAAGGCCTGCAGAACGCATACGAATTACAACAAAATTCCTTAACACTTATGCTCCTCCCGAGTAATAGATTTGTTATTTGTTGTTTATATAAAGGTCTTAAACAAGTCTACAAAAATTGTGCAATAGCAAGTGTGTGTCCTAAGGAACACTCACAATATTTTTTTTATCTATTTCAAAACGTACGTAGAGACGAACCCGAACGAAACGCAGGTATGTCGCTAGCTTATAATATAACTGTTATACTCATAGTTATAACAAATGATATAGTCTAAAGGTCAAATTTTATCTCTATTAAATACTTTTATGTTAAAATAATTTAATTTTATATGAATATATTATATTATGTACCTACTTATGTTTTTCATCAGCTAAACATTAATTGATGAAAAACAAGCAAATATATCAATTTCATATTTGACACAAATGGTCCTTACTAATTATGCACATTTCAGATGATAGCGCAGAAAGTACATACATAAATAATTTATAACCTTTAGTATTCAATAATACCGAATCATGCAGCTCTCTAACTATGAAAGAATTTTCGAAATCATATATGTAATTAGCTTTGGAGGTAGCTGTTAACAATTTTTATAAGCATACCAGTTACTTACCCTCGTTTCTCTCGGGTATCCTCGGCTTGAATGGTTTACGTCGCATAAAAGACAAACATACGAACATTTGTTTTTATTTACATAGAAGAAATTATATTACTTACTAGCGTTTTTCTGCGGCTCCGCCCGCATAGTACATTAATCACCAACCTATCATATACTAAAACCTTTTCCGAAACACGCTGCATCTTACAGTATGAGTATTATTCCGATCGGTTCAGTAGCTATCGCAGTATAACCGAACAAAAAAGTCGACTCTCCATTTATTAGTATAGATTATTACTTAAACAGTAGGTAGGTATGGCATTATCACAGTTATAGTAGTAATTTCCAAAGCATATATCTTGTTCAAAAAGAAACTGTTCAGAGCGAATATGAACATGTTAAAAGTCATACACTCCCTAACCAACCGAAGAACATCCCAAATCTCCATCCCTTAGTACGTCGAAAAGAAACCATTTAGGTCATACAAACCTGGGCAGCCCTTTGACATTCCACCTATATCAATGTATAGCAATTTGCTATATTACCGCAATTGAATAAGTGCCGACCGTTTGATCATAGATATAGCTTACAGACAACCACCTAGTTTCAATTCAGTCGCGGCTTGACCCTCGCGCGGTCTACAGCGGAGTAAACCGGTATAAGCGAGAAAAAACGTGGAAAAATGGCAGTTGTGGCTCTTTGCTTTTTGGCGGTATTATGTAGTTTGCTCCAACAAGGTTTGTGGTATTCATTTTGTTTTGTGAGAATTGTTTAGGTTTTCTGGACTGTGACAGGAAGATCGAAGGAGAGACTTCGATCACATTCAGTTCCCAACACTGTGACCTTAAAACATCCTGTGTATGATTGGTTCTGATTTGGAAAATCCTGCAGCCTTATCAATTATCATACTAGATTTGGCTTGCGACTTCATTTTTGTGAAATTTGTTTACGCTAACACAAGGGTTTTGCAACTTTCAGGATTCGAAAAGTAATATATGAATTTCAAATAAAAACAATGTTGTGTTATTTGCTAAAAAACCAGGAATAGAATGAGAAATGGTTACATAGAACTCTATTTGGTAAAGTTATAAAATCCCGAGTGTGAGACAATATTCTGGTTATTTTTAATATTAATTTTCATAGAAACTGAAATTATGAACCTTATATACACAGAGGCTGATATAGAGTTTTCGATTCATTTTATTGCTATTACTCGTAGATAAAAATAAGATTATAGCCTTGCGGTTAAACTAATGGTTGTAAATATCAAATTACCACGTTACTAAGTGCTGTTAATAAGGAAGTATTACGGTCCTGAATAAGCTTATTATTTCTTGTATAAGATTTTTACAGAACACTCTCAGATGAAACTCATTTTCTTTTCATTCTTCATTTTTTGAAATATATCTGTAATGAATGAAATTAATATTTCTCGAAAAGTTACAATTAAAGTTAGTGGAGTTAAATGACGATTGATTTAAATTTTCAATCTTTTTTTTTTTGTATAAGCTTTTGTAGAATTTAGTATAATTTACTATTATTAATTTCGGAATTAAATCGTACATTTTTGTAGTATCGGTTCATATAGTCACATCCGGTGTTCTAGTTATAGCATGTAAGGTCTGCAGGTCCTGAGTTCAAGTCTCGGGGCGGAGCAAGTCTAGTAACTGAATTTTTCTGAATAGCCAAAATTTGGGAGGTTGCATGCCCGTGCCTCGCAGTTCAATATCTCCAGTCATGTCGAATTGTCGTCCCCCCGGAGTATGAGAGTGGCAGGAATAGAACTTCGAGAGTGCACTTGGGTTTGCACTCATACTTCTTTCCTATAATATCTCCTGCACAGATGGCTAGTTTTATTTGTTTGGCCAAAATCGGTCAGGATGACATTCTAGTAGTATTTATTCGAAGTCACTCAGCCAGTGCCACCAGTAATTAATTGTCAGTCTAGGAGGATATGCTTCACTTTGTATCCTCATCAGGTGGCATCACGCTTGTAATAAGACTCAAAACTATTCGTGATAATTGGAGACGCCTCTGGTGGCCGTTTGCAGAAGCAAGCAAAATCATTTTACAGTAACAGCCATACTTTATCGATCTTTATAGTTTTATAAATGTTATACATATACTAAATACTAAATAGTGATTTTATACGTCGAAGTTAGTTCTTCCATATGCCGATAGGGGTTATCTTCTCACCGTTAACACGATGAGATAATTCATGGAAACTACAGTGATTTTTCTTGAGACCAGGAGCAGGACACTTATGGACTATGGTTTATGAACAATACACTGCCACAAGACCTTGAGTTTATTTATTTATTATAACACTTTAAATATGCACTAAGTGCCTCTTATTGAAATCATATAGAAATAAGGATGTACGCGACTTTTTACATAGAGATAGTCTAAGCTACTTTTTATACCGGTTAGTTGATAGTTAGGCAAATAATGTTGAAAGACGCACCGTATTACAATTTTAAGTGGTTGAAAAATGTAAATAATTTTAGAAAATATTAGGATATCGTAAATGTTTAATATTGAAGCCTATTATTATTATTATCATTATATTGGGTGTGGTGCCGAGGTCGGCCCTAGCTACTTCGACCAGTTTTGGTCCATTGTAGCTCCCTTTAGAATGAGTTCAAAGTTCTCCGCTTAGTCCTGTTGACTCCAGGAACTTCCAGATTTTCTGAGCGGGGAGCATCTGTATCTCTTCCGGTTGCATAATATGCTGCCCTAGATAGATACTTCTGCGGTGCATGAGTGGACTGCACGAGCAGAGGATGTGCATAGCAGTTTCCTCTGTCTCAGGGCATAGTCTGCACATTGCGGTCTGACTGAGGCTATTGAAGCCTAATGAAAATTCAGCCTTGTATATTTTGATTTGAAAGAATATTTAATTCAATTAAATTCTTTTGTTAATAGCTTCAAAGCATGCCAGTTGAGCACAGATTACTTCGCCAATGTATAATTTGTAGACGTAGGTGCCTACTCATTTATCATGCAAAACAAATACCTTCATTTATTTTGGCACACAACAAGTACAAAATCTTACCATATATTATGAATCGATTAAGACCAAGGCTAAGAAACGCACTAAAACAGTTTTATTCCTGTAATAGCTATTTTTAGTTTTATGAACTGTTGCAAATTTTATAATAGTTAAATTTTCGGTTTCTAGGCGAGTTTGTATATGAATCTAGCGGTGGCGATATATAAATTGAACTAGAAGAAATTTTTTAATGAACAATTTAAGCTCATTTTTTAAGAGTAATTTCTGTGTTCAGTGATCGGCACAGATAAAAAATGTGCTATTTTTTCACCATACACTTTCCTTAATGCGTCTTTTCTCAATCTGGAAGGTTTGGAACTCTTAGAGGGACGAAACGTTTTTTTTTTAATTTAACTTGAGTTGTTGTTTGTAAGTTTCAGTAATTATATTATGTAAATAGAAAAAAAAAACAAAACTAACATAAAATATAATAACAAAAAAATAAAAACCGACTTCAAACAAAAGCACTAAAAAGTAAAAAATAACTGATTGGTAGTTTTCATTTACTATACATACCTAATCAAATATTTTCGAAGTCGGTGTGCTTTGCTTTGTATGGGCTGGCACCGATTTCGAAAATATTTGATTAGGTATGTATTTAATAGGTAGGCTTTAATTACTTAGCCAAAGCACACCGACTTCGAAAATATTTGATTAGGTATGTATAGTAAATGAAAACTACCAATCAGTTATTTTTTACTTTTTAGTGCTTTTGTTTGAAGTCGGTTTTTATTTTTTTGTAAAAAAGTTTTTATTTTTCCCTTTTTAGTGTAGACAGTAGTAGCACAGTAAGAATTCTAACGTGTTAGGCTTGTCAAATCAAACAAAATAAGCCCAAACTCAAAGTATCTACTATTAGCCGTTGAAGAGTTCCACCTATCCACCTTCTGGCCTTGCCATCAGATCAGGTCAACAACACCGAACCACTGTACTATCAAAGAAATAGAAATACTTGCAAAGTTTCAAGTCAATATGACAATTAGAAGTAGGTTAAATTCATCATTAGTTGTCTTTCCACCCTTAGGGGTGGTATTGTTTTTTGAAATTTAAATGGGACCAATCTGGAAGTATACCCTTTCAAACAAAACAAAAAAATTCCAAATCGGTTAATAAATGACGGAGTTCTGAGGTAACAAACATAAAAAAAACATACCGTCGAATTGAGAACCTCCTCCTTTTTGAAGTCGGTTGAAAAAAGACAAAATTCTTGCTTCATTGAGGTATATATAAGTAACTATTTGAAATACACTAGGTATCTACTATCTGGACTGGAACCATTCATGGTCTTGTGTACCGGGATAAAACTACCCTAAATTAATTTTTCAATTCAATTCTATTCTGTTTTATGTAAAAATAAAGTTGGTAGTAAGATTTATGGCCCATTTTATTATAATGCGAATGTTGTAACTCATACCATCTACCCTCCACTTCCTCTTGTCTAGAACTAGAATCTAGACAAATAGATAGACTGCACCTGACTATACCCTAGAGTTACTCTCATCATCTTAGCAGAACACCCTGGGTTAGATTTACCATGCTACCAGGTACACTAATATAAAGCCTATGTATTCATCCAAGATATAAGCTATTTTCGTTCGATTTTTTACTTAAATTCGTTGAGCCGTTACACCCAAGAGAACTAACAGACATACACACTTACCCACAAGCATTTATAATATTACTTTTGTTTCCCCCACAGGTCTAGCAATAACCTGCTATCAATGTAACAGTCACAACGACTCACGATGTCTCATGCCTAAGCTGCCCGACTCACTAAGACTCCCCTGCGGTCCAAAAGACACAATGTGCAGGAAAATATCTCAAGTAGTCGAATTTGAGATGAACGGTATGCCGCCAGATAGCCGCGTTATCAGAGGCTGTGGATGGGATGATAGTAGCTATAAGGTGAGCTACAGCAATATTGTTAAGTTTTAGGGATTATTATTACAATTAATTTGCATGCGATTCATGAGTAAAAGCTTATATTGTATGAATGTATAAAAATAACAGTTTCGCCCGCGTGTATATTCAATTGATCACATTTAAGTAAATAAAGATTAACGTGATCTGAATATAAGAGTAGGTACATTTATAGTTATTAACTTAAAAATAGTAGATAGGTACGCAGTATATGTATTTTGTTATAGAATGTTGAAGCATGTTGTCCCATTTCCCTTGCATTGTGTCTTATTTTTAAAAAAGTGTGAATCATTGATCATTGAAATCATTGAAAAGTCGTGGATCATTGGCAAATATACCATAACTAGCGAGAAGAGCGCTTTAGCTTGCTTCCCCATACAAACTTTCATCCCCATTCTCACCCCCTTAAGGAATGATTTCACTCACTTTTCGTATCATGAGATTTAAAAAAAATAGTATTTTTTTTTTCTTTTAATTTTCTTCTATACAAAACTTGTCCTGACAATAACAAAAGAATTATCCAATTTGGTGCAGTCAATCAGAAGTTATGGTACATTTCGGTGATTCATTTTTATTTATATGTTAATACACACAAAAACATTTAACCGATACGAATACCTCACCTTTTTTTGAAATCGGCTAGAGCCAGCAAAAACCCACTTACATAACATTATTTTCGTGTTAGACTCAATTTAGAAGTATATGTAATAACGAATTCCCATCAAGATTCCATGCAACAATAAAATTTTATTCCACGATTACTGACATGACATTGTTTCAGGGTCGTTGCTACCAGCGTTCAGGGTTCGGCGGCCGGCAGGAGGTGTGTTCGTGTTTAGAGGACGGCTGTAACTCCGCCACCGCCCCAGTGGCAGCCACAGTCCTCATGTTGCTCACATTCGCTTTACTTAGGTTCTAGACCGTGTACTCGTGAATACGTTTTTCGATATATGCCATAGAAATTACTTACAAAATGAAATTGACTAACTAAAACTACTGTCATTATAGTAAACTTAAATAACTATCACGTCAAGTCATTTTCAGATATTTTAGTTTCAAAATTGTAGACACAAAATGGTCTTAAAGGATGTATTCACGTTGCTACTAAAGAATTGTAGAGCCTTGATATGTATAATGTACTTTATAATGAAATCTTAGTTACCTTTACAGAACTCTTATAGATTGCAGCTTATTAATATATAATTAATTAGTCATTTCATAGGAAGCTAGGAACCAAAGGCAAAATAGTATAGCAAGTATTAAATCAATAGAAAAATAATAATAGATATGTTAGTTAAAAAAATGAGCATGGAAAATTATATAGGTGCAATTCTAGGCCGTATCTCAGACATTTCCATTAGTGTTTGTTGCGATGAATGGGTGTAAGAGCGATAAACTACTTAGCGATTCCTTGTAAATAAATAGGTGATAATTCTGCTACACTGCCTTAGACCACTGGCCTTATTAATATGAACAAAGTTGACATTTCAATTAAATATTCCTATTTATAATCTCAAATTTATTTAAAAGTATCATTAGTAAACATGAAAGGTAAGGTAATTTAGCTATTAGCCATAATCGAAGCTGTGATCTTTGAAACAAAATTTTATCTAATCTATCAATTAGTCAAATGTGTCAAAATATAGCACAAATTATAGTTACCTATAGCTGATATACATAGTTCATACTATTAATAAGGTCAACAATTACTCTCCCTAGTCTATTAGTTTCTGTTGTTCATTTCTAGTGAGTACTTTCACGTACAAACCGTATTGTTGTGTTTGAATGTAAAATTTATTAAAAGTTTTTAAAGATCTTGACTTTCTTTTGCACCTGATAAATAATAAAGGACAAATGTGTTTTCTTTCTGAACTGGTAAGGGCTTAACTTTCAATTTATGAACGTCTATAGTCCATACTGAAGGCAAGATGTGTGAACCTGTATTTGACCATGGTGGACTATGGCATAGTTTCCCATGCATTGCGACACCATCTTGGTTGCTAAAAAGGGCTAAAACATAACTATTATAAAGAAAATTAAAAACCAAAGCCTAATAAAACTCTTCCAAACTTTTATAATCGGTGCCAAAATTCCTTAGGTCCTCACCTTAATCGAGTAACAATCTCAATTGGTCTTCCGCTGGCTCAATGAGTGGCATCCTCGTTTAGATATGACACAATCAAGTGATACACAGATAGATGTATGTACAATGTATTACATATCTAGATTTGTTGCTATAGTAGCCTAAGCCTAACCCTGCTCAGATGCGGGGTGTAGTGACAAAGCTGCAGACATGAATTACGGCCTTGGACTCCTCATACTTTTGGGACTTCTACACTATGGTACGTTATCTGCTTTTATTACTATTTACTTCACAATAATTTAAATTAATAGATACGTATGTTATTTTATTTTAAATGTGTCATTATAAAATGAAATATTGATGTGATATTTAAAGTTTTAGTTTTATAAAATTTTTGTAAATATAGCTTTGAAATTCATTTTGATTATTTATGTATATATATTATAATGTATTCCGATCGGTTCAGTAGTTATCGCAGTAGAACTGAACAAAAAGTCGGCTCTCCATTTATTAGTATAGATGTTAAAGTTTGGATGGGTGTTTGCTACTCAATCACGCCTAAATAGCTGAATGGATCTGAATGAAATCTAGCACAGAGATACCTAGATCTTAGTCTGGAATAGCACATAGATTACTTTTTATCCCGGAAAAATGTACGATTCCCGTGGGATATATTTGTTTTTGTTTTTCTAGTCACTAGTGTCATATATATTTATCGACATAAGTTAGTACTTTAACAGCAATTGATGTAAACGCAAACATGCGCCTACTGAAGGCATAATAAGGTGCGGCGTCGAGAGAGGTGCGGTCTGTCGCAAGAACACTTACTTCACTGATCTATATTTTCTTCTATATTATTCATTTTCATAACAGTTTTATATAATTTTATATCATTAAAAAACTTTAAGGCTTTTTAATACTTTTTTACTAGTTTACGATATTGACATATTAGTTTTAGTTTAAATAAAAATGCAAGGCATTAAGAATTTGTAATAAAATCTTATTAGAAATTCTTTATGCATTGCATTTTTATTTGATCTAAAACTACTATGTAAAAATGAACTATGTACTATGTAAAAAAGGGCGAAACTTTTTTAATATAATAGATAGAACATTTATTTTGTATGTCTGTATTATAGGTACCTCTTGATTCTTCAACGTCCACTTGTAATAAAGTCATACAAAGAACGAACGTATACGTTATAAAAACAAATTCATATCATAGATATAAATATGTTAATATTTTCACACCTAATATTTTTTATTTTTTCTAAAAAAAAATTATTTTTCTGAGAGAACAAAAAAAAACAAACTTTTGTCCTAGATCGAGAAAACTGTTTCCCAATTGAAAGCGGATTTGATCCTTAATCAATTGCTCGTATTCCTTTTTCTCCACATTTTTTCCTTAATACAATATTATTTTAGATTTTGATTTCGTAATTTTATCTTCCCAGTAAATACTACTTTTTTATATTAACTAGCAGAACTCGCGGCTTCGCTCGCGCTAAAACTACAAAAAAACTAAAAAAGTAGGTTTCATACAAACTTTCATCGTCTATTTTACCCTCTTATGGGATCAATTTCGAAAAATGCTAAAACATGTATTTATTTAATTGTATTAAAGAGCATTAATACCAAATTTCAAGTAATTCTATCCAAAATAACTTTTGAGATAATCTCTATAGAAGTAATATATGCGTGTATGCTTCTTGTTGCTTCTTCACGCATAAACGGCTGAACGGTTTTGAATAAAATTTGGTATATAGACAGACTATGATCTGGCGTTAACACATAATATACTGTATGTAAGTTAGGTGGTAATGCTCCGTTATCACGTATCACACGATCATACAACAACTGCGTAAAGCGCATGACATCTTTGGACATTTGTTGTGATGGGCTCTCACAATTTATAAAAAAATGTGAAAAGTGTATTTTATAAGTTTTATAAGTTTTACAGTATTTTCTTAATGTAATTGTTAAGTTTAATTTAAATATTTTTATTTTGTTTCTTTTTGTAATTGTATTCATTTTATTGTGTTTATTATGTGTATTTAGGCATTATAAAACATTGTTTTTTTTTGCGAATGATGTGTTCTGCTATAATTAGTAATACATTAATATAAATTAGATTTAGGTAGCTATATTGTTAATGAAAAAATTATGTATACTGTTGGAGATCCATAAGTAAATAAATAAATAAATGACACATATAAACACCTAGAGACCCAAGCGAAATATTTTATATGTAGTATTTTATATGTAAGATAATAGCGAAATAAATGTTATTAAAGGTTTCAAGGTACAAAATCTAAGAGTAGTGAGAATCGCTTACATTTTTTTTATATTTTAGGATCAACAATAGTATGTTACGAATGTAACAGCGCGATAAACTCCATGTGCTCGGACACTTTACTACCAGATAGTTTGAAGAGGAACTGTTCTGACCACGAGCGAGGCGTTACTCATACGCTGTGCAGGAAAATTATACAGCATGTAGACCACGAGGTGAACGGCCACTTCCCCGTGAGCAGAGTCATTCGTAGCTGTGGCTGGGACGAGACTAAATACAAGGTAACAAAGTATATTTTTTAATGTCTTTAAAAAGAAGGCCTTTTTGTACATATATTATTATTAAATGCCAAGAAAAAAATCATATCATGAAATGATTATTTTTAATATTTTTTTTGAAGTCAGTGAACCATTTAAAATGTAATAATTGTGTATTACTGTGTAAACATTACTCAAAAGAGGAAAAAATATTTATGATGTTTGATAAAATAGTCTGATTCATGCACTTCCTTTGCGTCAAATATTATCATTATATTAGTACAGTGTTCTACTGGTCAATTCGGAAAAAATGTACAAAAGCGAATATGCCATTGTTAGTTTAATATTTCGACATAAACTGGATATTCGTTTATTATTAAACAAGCAGAACCCGTTGTTTCGCTCGTGCTAAAACTACAAAAAAAAACTCTAGAGGTAGGTTTCATACAAACTTTCTTCCCCTCTCTTATGGGATGAATTTGGAAAAATGTTAAAACACGTATTTATTTAATTGTATTGAATACCAAGTTGCAAGTAAGTCTCATCGTCAATATTTTTTTGGGTTGTATTATGACGTGATTTCCTGTGCTTCCGACGCAGGTAAAAAGTAGCCCATGTCACTCTCTAGCCTCCCAACTATCGCCACGCAAAAAATTATGCCAATATGTCTTTCCGTTTCGGCGTGAAAAATGGCAAACAAACAAACAAACACACTTTCACATTTCTAATATTAGTATGTTGTATGGCTATCAATATTAATGTCAAAATTTTAATGTTCATCTGTGATTCCAAAATTACAGCTAAACTAATGTTGTGTAAAACTAGATTAATAACATAAAAAAAATACTGGTAGATCCTTATAAGTCCCAGTTCTTTATAGAGTAAACTGGATATTTAATAATAAAATCTGAATTGGAATATGAAGCTGATAGCTTTTAGTTGTTGTGAATTCTCTAACCACCAATTTACCCTTCGTCAGAACTCCTTCTTTTTTACTAAATAAAGTAATTATTACTACATAATAACGAAAGTCCCATTTACGTTTTGTTCATCCATTTCTGTATTTTTTATCCATTATGAGATCGACGGTACAATTTTCCTTTGGCTAAATTTTATTGTTTACTAGCGGCTCACCCTCGCTTCGCTCGGGTTCGTCGCTAGGTACGTTTTAAATAGATATAAAAAGAAAAAATCTTTCTTTCTCACATTTTAATTATATGTTTTAATACTTACCTATTCCGGACTAAGAGAAATCCAAAAATTAAAATATCATAAAAATCTGAACGCGGTCGAACGGGATAAAAAGTATCCTATGTCCTTCTCCTGGCTCTAAACTACCTCCCTGCCAATTTTCAGCTAAATCGGTTCAGCCGTTCTTGAGTTATAAGCGAAGTAACTAACACGACTTTCTTTTATATATATAGATGTTTTAATCTCTTAGACGAATGTATTCGTAAATTAATAAGAGAATACATAAATTGTACAAAGATTTACAGTTTATAAAACTTCTACGTAGAGTTCTTAGATTTATTTATATAATTTATAACAGCAAGCGAAGCTTAATACTTTCTTATAATACTTTCTTAGATCTTAAATAATATTCCATATTCAATTATAAAACTAATTAAAATTATAAAAATGTTTAAAGTTAAAAAATATTGTAAGGTAATTGGTGCAATTTTCATTTTGTTAATTGTGGGTAGGCTGTCTGTAAAAACTATACCTTCAAGACATGTAACACCTCAGTCTCTCCCGTGACCATGGATGCTGTAAAGCATTCGAAACGTCGGAAACCATTAATCAAAATGAATCCGCGAAATAATCCGAAAAGATAGTTTTATTTAAAATGCAAGCGAAGCTAATAAAAAAAATGTAAAAATGGGAGAAGCAATTATATTTTTCCCTAAATTATATTTGTTCCTTAATAATTTCAGGGAGCATGCTACCATCGTTCTGGCTATGGAGGTCGTCAGGAAGTCTGCTCCTGTATGACCGACCTATGCAACGGCACGCACGATCTCAACGCATCGACCTTCTTTACTATAAGCTTAGTTGTAATATTCAGGTTTATTTATAGGTTTATATGTTGAAGTATACCTATGTTTCTTCTAATTATAAGAAGAAAGAAGAAGATAGAAAATGATTTGCGTTGTGGTAAACTCTTTTTGATTTTAGAAAATTGTAAAATAAATTGGTAAATGAAAAAAAAACTCTTTTATTTTTCACATTACTCACAATCTGTACAATATATTTTATAAACCATAAAAATCAAAACTTTTTGTTGTTCTTTCGTCAATAACTTGGCTGAAAAGTGACTCTGAAAAGCAAAATTCAAATGACACCACGTCAGAAAACAAATGAACGAAATCATATGGTTGGTTTCAATTATTTGGCAAGTCACATCTCGTTCATTGCATACCAAGATCCCGAAAACGATGATTATAATCTAAAGAAAGATATTGATTAGAAAATAAGCCAGACACAAGTGTTCTTAAAGCTCTGTCACTCCTTACATTCAATTTTATTTCTAAGCTTAAATAAAATAGAGACTGCAAAAAATATTGAGAGATCAAAGTAACAATTAAGCAGTTGATAATTTGCAATGTTCTGATATTACGAAACCACTGGACGAAGGACCGCATACTCACAGTGCGCCGGTAAGTAATAATTTTTTATACTAAAAATCATTGGATAAGCGAGGCAATAAAATAAAGCTAAGTAAAATCATTATAAAATATAACTGCTCTGCTTTACTTTATATTAGACAAAAAAAAATTAAGTCATCTCCATAGAAATATGTAGGTACCAACTAGATTATGGTCATGATTTGACGTGTGTTTAAAAATGAGTATTGCAGTTTTATATTTTAATCAACTAGAACACGTGCTTATAAAATTTATTATATATGTAGAATAATAAAATTAAAAAGCTTATCTGTTACTATAAAGAACATAATTACAACACTCGTAATATTTTTTTAAAATTATTTTAGTACGCCGCAAACCAAATGCAAGAGTATGGTAGCGCCACATCTAACAAGTCGGGAGAGTACCGCGAGTGCTCAGAGGGAAGAGATCGCAGTCAAGAGAGCTCGAGCACGCATCATCATCGTCCCGTAACACAGAAAAGTTATGGTAAATAACAAAAAAAAAAAACATTTTATTTTCAAAAGATTTTTTACAAAAGTAAGACTTTTTTATACATATTTATATATCGTTTTTGTGCTTAGACATATTTTATAGTTTTCATTTACTGAACTTTTCCATTAAGGTCGATACTGCTTTATTCCTGATGTTTTGCTTGCGATATTAAATTACCACTTCACTCCAGTTTAAAAGCATTGCCTATTCCGGTCATTAATTGATATACATATGTATATGAAAGTATTTGTAATAAATCCAAGAATCTTAGCTATATTGCATAACTCTATAAGAAAATTTAGCTTAAACAAAGCTTAAATGCTTAAATAGATAAAAACTATGTTTATAAATTTATATGTTTTAGGTTGTCACAATAAAGATTTCGTCGAACAAAATATAGTAAACTATTCGAAAATTACAACTGGTAGTACCGAGTTGTCAACAAACCAGCAGTATCAAACTACAAGGTAATTATTATAGTTATAAATTTATAGTCGTTATATTGGTGTATTTTTAAGAAAAGGTTCCATTACAGATACAATAATTCATCAGCTCCAACCTTTAGTTCTCCGCCCAATTCTCCTTTAGTTGGACTTGTTTTTGATCCAACTTCATCCAAATACAGTGGACCTACTATAATGTCCGATCGCCTTAATGCTGAAAGACGTTCACAAAATTCCTGGTCAGTAACTCCCCAAGAACCTATTGGCACTGGCGCAAAGAAAAAAATTATAAAGAGTCAAGATAAGCGTAATGCTTACAGCACTGACCCTCGATATCAAGAAAGATACAAAGATACGAGTACAGAAACTGATAGACCAAGGAAACATGAGCAACATTTGACCTCAGAATCCACGTCCAGTCTTGATTTTCTCGCAGAAGGAGAAAGGATGGTTTCGGAACTTTGTAATATAACAGATTCTAATGCTAGAAATGACCCTGTTTATAGTAAATCTATAAAATTCAATCAAGATGATGATAAAAATAGACACGGCGAATCTTCAGACATTTTAATGACAGCCCTAGACAGAATAGTTATTCATGATCAAATTCCAAATCAAATCGTTCAATTAGCAATTGAAGCTTGTACTGACGCAGAAAATATAGCTATTGCTCATCACAATCGACCGTGCTTCAAAAATATTCATTCAATTTGTGCCAAGACACGATCTAACGTACAAAAACCCGACAGTGCTGTAGCTAACTTACATTCACAAGGTATACCATGGGTCATCAAAAATTTTATTTTCTCATTTGTCAGAATTTTGGATGGGTGGAAAGGAGTTAAAGAATTGCTAAGCGAAAAACATGATACTTTTTCTAGAATTGAGAATAAATATTACAGTCAAAACATACGTGAATGTTTTGTTCAATGGCAAGCAGTTACAAAAGAAATGTTAACGCATATTTACAAAACTTTCAAATGCCTTGATCATGGGTTTACAATGGAACAAAAAAGTTTTACTCATAACTATTATGCCACGAATTCAACGGCTCCAAGACATCAAAATCAAAATAAATTTCAACCTATTAAACAGCATATTAGTATACCAAGACCCATAAATGCTTCGCCACATACATATAACGTAATGCAACCACCGTGGGTTCAGGCTCAAACACCTCCAGTACCACAAAGCTATCCTGAAAATCAGTGGTCAAATCGGTCAGCAATTACATATAAAAAATTTCCTGCAGTGCCTGCACCTAATTCACAAAATTTTTATCCATTAAACGATCAAAGTGAGTCTGAAAGTATTCAAAAGTCCCAATATAAATGTGATCCATGTAGTATACGCGAATCAAAACCACGCCAATCTTGGACTATAACAAATGTACCAGACTTGCGAGCATTAGAAGGCATGTGTCATACTGATCAACGAGAACTGTATACACAATTGAAACATAGAATGGATGCGGAACTAGGTAAAGCACCTGGACAACCAATATTAAGTAGCACACCTTGTGAATTACTACAACGTCGAGAAATGGAAATAAAACCGAAAATGATACCTTTAAGCCACGTCGAAAAAACATTAATACCTAACATGTCAGCTCCAGGAGATGTTAGAGCATGTTTTGTACAAAGGAATAATAGTTGTGGTGATACTAAAGAAGACATTGATTTTTTTGCGGCATGGGGCCAGATGGCTCAAAAAGAACCTAGTGATTATTTGACTCATCATACTCACAACATTCAAATCCCTCCAAATGTTGTGACGATCTCAGACAATATATCTGGCCCCGTGCAATTTATCGATCCTGAAAATGATGAGTTCCATGAAATGTCCAAAGTATATATGAAACCAGGCAGTTATAAAGTACCTATAAAACCAGCCGACCCTTTAACATCTTTTCTGCAAAATTCTCCTCAAGATGCTTCTTTTAATACAACTATTGATGATGCTACTGTCAAAATAAAGTCATCATTTTCACAAGTAACTCTTGCTCCACAGCCAAAATATAACATAGAATCATGGCCATGTTTAATTTCACGACGAGCTGAAGAGATATATTCAGAAACCCAGAAAGTAACCCCCTCTATTCTCTCGATTTCATGCTTGGACATGCGTACAGTTGAATCTCTAGATATATTAAATTCAATGATGTCCGACCAGGCCTGGGAAGCAGCTAAACAATCAGCACCTAAATTAATGGATTTTATTTATGAGGGATCTAAGTCAGATACAGCACGACTTTATGATGCTTTAGGATTAAATGGCAACGATGAAATGTCGACTGATTATAAACAGTTATTAACAGATATAGATCAGAGCCATCGATTTTGTCTGGATGATAAAATAGACTCGAAACAAACACCTTCTCTATGGGATCAGCCATCTTTTTGTCAAGGTAGTTTACAAGATAAAAATTATGACAACGCGATTTTAAAAGATATTACGTCAAATGTAGCAAGTGAAGACCCGAAAAAATCGGTAGATGTCAACGATCAAGAAGAAATAGTTGAAAGTAAAGCAGAAGAATCAAGGATAAATACTCATCGTCGAAATTTTGATCAGACTGGCAGTTACGTGAAAGACGAAAATCCAAGAAAATGTAGTAAACCGAAAGTAGCTGTATCAGGAATGTGGTACCATCCTAAAAAAAAGAAACCATTATCAAATACAATTGTAAAGAAGTTCGAAAACATCATTTCTACTTTATCACAGTTGAACGAAGCGTCGTTCATACAAGACGATATGGATATAAAAGTAGTAAGTAAAAATTTCTAAGCACAATAGCTTCATACTAATATATTGAGAAATCGTTCTAAAACCATATACCTACACACTCGTACATGGAAAATTATTTTCAGGCCCCAAGATTTTATGAAATTGTAAAGTATCCAATGTGCCTCAATGATATATCCACTAAGTTAAAAAACTCATCTTATACTGAATATGATCAAGTGGTTCAAGATTTCAAACGTATTTTTAACAATGTTAGACTTTATCTTAAGGTAAGACTAGTTTAATCAACATTGGCGTTAGTTTAACCTATGTTAGTCATAAATTTATTTGCTGATTTATTTTCAGAATTATCAAGATTCTAACATGAAAAAGAACCTCACAAAAGTATCGTCTGAATTTGAAAAGATTTTAAACGAAGAATTTCCGCATAAGTGGGATTCAAAAAGTAAGACACATGAACATACAGAGAACAAGGAACTAAATAGCAAAAGATCTGAAAAAGACGGTGATGTTCAGAAACTTGAAACAAGAAAAGATCTAAGAAATGATTTAAAGTCTAATGATAATGAAAAATAGTAGTTAGTAATTATGATTAAAAAATCATCGTTCTTTTTAAGTTACTTATGTTCAACAATTTCGTATGCTTTTAACGTATATAAAGCACGATACCATTTCTTTTTGGATTATTATTATTTTTTTATTTAAGGTTCTGTATTGTTTTTATTTATTTGAAACGCTAAGTTGAAATCGTACATCTTTTCTTGTACAAAGTTCCCAATACTCGATCAATAGGCTGATTTAAATACATTCTAGTCATATGGTTTTTTAGCAAATGTCAGTGCTGTTACCAGAACTTAAGATTATCGTTATTTTTTTAATTAGTAAGTGCTTGCCAATTTAGAATGGATTTTACGGGCTTCCTACATATTGTTTACTTTCTTTTTTAACTTCATCCTTACGAGTAATAATATATAATTTATTATTCGTAGCTTCATTCCTTTTTCTCATTAACTTGTTTAGTTTTATCTTGTCATTGCTTTTTAATTATCATCTTTTAATTTCATTATCATCTACTTTAGTCTGTCTATTTTGAAGATTAAACAAACTTGTTTTAATATGACATGGACCTTAAATCTTATGTCAATAAATTATAAACACGCGTAAATATTTTAGTCACTATTTTTTCAATTTCAATCTGTGATTTTATATTAGGTTAAAGTTAATTATCAGAATTCTCGCTTCTTTAGTTAACTTAAGAGCATGTAAATATTTAGAGTTCACAATACAAATTTATATATACATATATATCACAAAGTTTACAGTTTATTATTATTTTCAATAAAGTTGTATTTATAATATTTACAATTATCACGAGAAAAGATCTAAGCTGGACTAATATGCCCATAAATCAAGTCTTTTGCCTCCATTTTTATTGATAAGTTTATCAACTCAGCTACTCAAATTATCAACTCAAGAAAATTGTTTATCTTTTAAAATCTTGATTTTGGGTCCATAAATTAATTTATTTTAAATCATTTAAATATACAATATATAAGTATAGTGAGCAAATTTAAAATTAGATGATCTGTCAAAATTTATTAATATTGTAGTCTAACAATAAAACTAAAGGAAAAAGTGATAAAAATCAGCTCTATTTTAGTTAAAATCTCCAATATGAAAATACTTAAATTCATTTTTAAAATTTCTGGATGCCTTACAAATACTTTTACGTCATTTATAGATAGCATAATTAATTAATTTAGATTATTGTGCAAAAAATGCTATGAAAAAAAATTGAAGGAAAGAAGCATGAAAAATTCATTAGACGTTTTGTCCCGAGGAACTTCAGATCTTTTCAAATGATAAAGAAACTGCAATACATACATATATTGATAACTATTACAGTTTTACTAAAACTGTTATTATTTCAATACTACTACTACCAATACTATGAGTTCGGATAACATTAAATTTTAGATTATTATAATATATCACTATTGATTATGATGAATGGAATATTTATTTCACCGAATTCGTAATAAGTAACTATATGAAATATTTACGTTATTGGTACTTGATAGCCATTGAAAAGTTGACTGACATGGTGTTAGCCGACATGCAATATAAGATATCGATATATATTCCTTTGTCCATCTAATCAGTCTTGTCACTGGAAGAATGTATTGTTGCATTAGGCACTAATAACTTACATAATATATTACCACGGTAATATTACATGCATTACATTACCGTGATATTACTGACGTGTGTACTTTATTTTACGATGCACAGTTGCTCATAAACACAACATGCTTTGTATATTATTTTTTTAATTATAAACTTGCAATACGCTCTAGTGTTAATTTATTTTTAGGATGTTTTTGATCTCATTTTACCTGCCGTTAAGTGTATTTCCAGCGACGTCTTATTCGGTCCACTTTTGGTAAAAAAATTTTTTATAAAATTTGGATGTTCAAATTTTGAAATTAACGTTCATATTATGACGTTGGAACTAATTTTAAATATTCATTAAATTGTTGTTTTATTATTTAACTTATTTACCTAAAATTATGGCAAGGATCCTCAAATATAATGCAAAAGTTGTTTCTTATTTCGAGTTTTATTTTTTAAACTAGCATTGCCCGCTGCTCCGCCCGCGTTCAGATGACCAAAAACCAAATAATTAGGTTTTACATATAAATATACTCTTACAATGTAGTTTTCGTATTTTTTTCTCACAGAAATGAGACATTTTCCTGCGGTAAAAAGTATCCTATATTTTGACCCGGATAACCAGCTATCGTCATACCAAATTTCATCAAAATCACTCCAGTGGTTTTTCCGTGATACGGTAACAGACAGGCAGACAGACAGACAGTCTAAGTCTATCAATAAGATTTTCCCAAAAATATTCAATGATTAAGTTTCTGACGTACTAAATTTAAAAATAAAATCTGACAGCATATTAAATGGTCTTGAATGCTCTATTTAAAGATTTTTGTATTTTTTATAGAAAAGTAAATTTACCTACCATCGTTCTGATCCTTGTTCGTCACTACCAAAATCAGGATTAAAATTAGATACCCACGATATATTATTCATTAATTTAATATGATTAACAACACAGTGAATGATGTCAATAGTCGCCGTCACATAAATAGATTTATAAGTACCACTTTACGTTTCTACTGTTTATTGACCCTGAGGCGTTAGCACTTGATAAGGGTTTTTATTGCATTTATAGTTCTAAAAATTCCATTTTAATCAAATTGTTTTGTATAATTTACTGATCATACCAAAAATAAAACTAAGAACTAACACAACCGACTCGATATACCTATGATTCTTCAATATCAATGTAAACTATAATCTGATCATTGAGTCAGGAAAATAGTTTATTGATTGTAAAAGCAATGACTTTGAAAGTGGGTGCAATAAAATGAACAGCCATCATAAATACCGATAATGACGAATAAAAAGAAAAGAGTAGGTAGGTAAGGACTAGAAGTGGTTAAAAGATTTGTCAATTTAATTTCAATTTGTCAATTCAATTTCAATTTGTCAAAACTTAAATATTTTGAAATTAAAATTAACTTTATTTAATTAGACCATTATAAGAATTAAGTAGTTTTGAATCTTCGACTTCTGTCAGTATGTAACAGGGATATGCGATGAGGATGGAGGAGAATCGACCAATCCGTGAGGAAGTTACCACTACCAGCGGCTCGGAATGCAGTTCTGCTGAAAAAAGCCGACTAAAACTATTATAAGTGCACTTTTACTGTTTTTTACCAAAATAATAGCAATCCCATAAAGGCACTTTAATTCCACTCCCTTTTAACTAAAAGAACAGAAATAATTGTTTTACTTAGGGTCACATTTTTTGAATGTGTAAAATAACAACTCAGACTCGCACATCGATGGTTCCGTACCGCCAAATATGTGTTGTTTATATTACTAACATATTTCGTTAGCTTAACACTAAAATAAACTAATAGTTCTGCGAACAGTACCTAGACCTCGCACAAACTTTTTTGCAACAATGTACCACTAAAGTTATGTGAGCGATTTACTGCATTTTGAGAAGCTATTTTAACCATCACGCCGAAGATCCTCATAAGATCTTCAAAATTTTTTTATGAGGGCACTTACAACCTTTTTAAAAAAAACATCGAAATCGGACCACATAAGGCGGAGATATCCAGTAGAGCCCCCTTTTTGCCTCTTTTTGGAGGATCAGACTTTTTGATGATGATGATTATTTTGCAGTAAATAGTAACCTATATGTTAACTCGGTTATTATGTTATCACCATACTCGATGAGCAACTTTCACTCGAACTAAATTTACGAGTAATAAAATATCACTACACAAAATTTAGTTAAAATCCGTTTAGTACTTTGCGTAACACCAACAGACATACAGACAAACAGACAAAAATTACCACATCTATTGTTTTGGGGCGTTATAATCATTGTCTTTATAATAACATTATTTTATGTACAGTTATTATTTTATATTTATTTTCTTTTGGCATGAAATCTGAGCGTTAGAAATTTTTATATATCTGGGTACCTACCGCATATCTGTTACTGTTAATCAAATAATATTAATTCAACATTTTCTTACCTTTACTCCACTGCCAGAATCCGAGTACATAATTATTTTATTCTAGGTAATGCGTCTTTGCAAGTGAATCAGGTCGTGAAGTAAGCGGGTGAGACTCGCTGGCCGATAAAATCATTAAAATCCAGTAAAACCATTATAATTATCACCATAGTGGGGATGCTATAGGAATTCTAGCTGTTGTTTTTAGCTATGTAGGAATTTGATTTAAACGATCCCATAAACATTTTTATTGAAATCTTTGGTACTGCATGACATGACAATGAGGGTTTATTGACTTTAATTTTATATTTGACGGTACGATCTTCTATTACTTAGAAATTAGTATTACTTTATCTCCCTTCTCCTTTAAGCAAAATAATCATTAGGATGTACCGGGTAACATAACGCTGGCTCTCTATGTAATTGTAAATGCAAAACTGTGTTCATTGGTGTTTTTTCTTTTATTGGTTTGTCCTTCTTTGATGCAGCAACAACAACAATATACTTAATTTATACATAGCCTAGTAATTATCCTTGTGGTACCTTTAAGTTCAATATTCTGACCTATTTATCTTTTTTGGTGGTCAGTGGTCATAGCTCACAAACAAATGGACAATCCGATTTTTTACAATAGTAAAAAATTCTATATTTTACGTATCCGAATAAGCCGAATGGCTATCATAATGTCGGCAAACTAGAATATTTCTTTATTCTCTTATCTCGTATATTGGACAAATGAATTATATACTATTGTTGTTTTGATTTTATCAAATGCTGTTTCGATAGCGATTATTTCGCGATAAAACTTTACAATCGTTAGAAATTTCTTGTATAAATTGTCTGCAATCCTCACATCTTATTATCAGCGTGTACATTTGTCACAAAATTGATCAGTGCGTGTAAATTACATATACTTACATATCTTCAAAAAATATCAAGGTAATTTTTTTTTAATTTTTACGCTTTCGAGTGAAAATAAAATTTAGACTTGTTTTAATTCTTATTTAAGGTAAAAATGTAACCGCAACTTTGCATCAACAATATTTATAGCATTATCTATTTTTTTAAGATGCTACGCCAGATTTTGGCATTAACAGTAGTGGTGATATCAGTGTCTGGGCATGGTCGTCTGTCAGATCCTCCTTCTCGAGCCTCAATGTGGAGATATGGCTACTCCACAGTACCCAACTATGACGACACAGGCCTATTTTGCGGCGGTTTTTGGAGGCACTATGAAATCAATGATGGAAAGTAAGCAATTACTGTTTTTGTTCTATTTATTTTAGTCCTTTTTCTAAGTCACTCGAATATTTTACTTCCCAAATCTTATTGTAAGTAAGATCTACATAAAGATGTTTTTGAAAGTTATACACAAAGCTGTAAAAAATTCAGATATTATTTATACAAATAAACATATTTTAAAAATAATTAAAAAATAAATATTTACATTTTTTTTGTAACTCTAGATGCGGTATTTGTGGAGACGCTTATGACTTAGAGGAGCCAAGACCTCATGAAATCGGTGGTATGTACGGTTCAGGCATCATTGTTGCTGAATATGAGCCTGGGCAAGTTATTTCGCCTCTTGTAGAAATTACCGCTTACCACGAGGGATACTGGGTCTTCATGATTTGCCCAGATCCTACATCAAATGACCAATCTTGCTTCGACCAATACCCAGTCGAACTTGAAAAGGGAGGAACGAAGTTCTACCCACCTGGCACAGGAGAATATAGAGTTAGTTATCGCCTACCAGAAAACTTGACGTGCGACCATTGCGTTCTGCAATGGAGATATGTTGCTGGAAACAATTGGGGAATATGTGAAGATGGTGTAGGAAGAATGGGATGCGGAAATCAAGAAAACTTCTTAGCCTGTGCTGATATCACAATCAAAAGTAAAATAATTCCTGTTGTAAATGCCCCTTTAATACTTGATAAACTAAACTAAGCTAATTTTATCTGATGATGTCTTTACCCACGCAGTATATCAAAATCTAAAATTAATGAAACAGGATGAAAAATTGATGATAAGAGTTTAATTTTAAATGATACTATCTTTTCGGATTTTTTCGTGGATTTATTTTGATATTTGGTTCCCGACGTTTCGAATGCTTTACAGCAATCATGGTCACGGGAGAGACAAAGATCCAAAAATCCAAGAGAACCAAAAATCATAATAAATCCGCGAAATAATCCGAAAAGATAGTTTTATTTAAAATGTCAAATATTCGCGTAAATCTAAGAAAGTATTAAAAGTTTAATTATTATAACATCGAACAGCTTTTGATACATCAAAAATGATATAGCAGGCTGTGCATCATAAAACATCAATGCGGTGTTCTTTGTAACAACATTATTTATTATCAATATAAAACATTTTATACGCAAATACTCTTTGATTGTTCCTTGATTGTGTAATCCATTTATGATTTACAAAAAGATTGATTCTACAGTTTCATCAAATTGGGCTTATCCTTAATCCACTGTTATGACTCAATAATATAATAAATAAATATGTTGGGACATTAACACACAGCACCATCTAGTTCCATGGTAAGCTACGAGGCCTGTGTTATGGATACCAGATGATTGTTACACTACATATATATAACTTTAAATACATACACATTATAAATAAAAACACCCATGACTGGAGTACAAACATTCGTGCTCATCACACAAACGAATGCCCCCAGCGGGACTCGAACCCGCGACTGCTGGCACAGCAAGTAGGGTCACCAACTGAGTCAAACGTGTCGTGTGTCAATGATTTCATTCTACAATTTCTGTATTTTGTTATTTGTAAATATTGGATAAGGCATATTCCAGGAAATATGTTATATGGCTGTTTTATCTTTTGTTAGTCAGTTAACAATTTAAGTATGTGAGCTATTCTAACTCTGAAAATCATTACACGAGTATATAATATTATTTCTGACTTTATACCTATAAAGCTTTTCTCAGTAATGTCAAGGATTTTGACAATGTTATTTTCTTAAAGTATGAGAAAGAAAATGAAAATAACAATTAAGTAAAGAATTTTATACTTTATTAGTTATCCGTAGTATACCTTAGCTTTAGCTATATTAAACTTTTATATTTATTTTCAGCTCCTCTTTTGAATATATTTCATGCTTCCAAAACTTTCATTCTCTTACAACACCCCTGAAAAGTCTGACTTTTGTTAAACTATATTTTTTATATGGTAATCGCATAAGAAATCACCTTTAAAATATTACTTTAATATATTTCAGAAAACTAAACAGTTCATGTCAGAATTTGCTTAAAAATTATCATAATTCGGGAGGTTTTTACACTTTAATAACACATTAATAATTATTTAATATTATCTAATATATAAAATTTCCATGTCACAATGTTTGTTACCGTACTCCTCCGAAACGGCTTTACCGATTTTTACCAAATTTTATATGCGTATTTAGTAGGTCTGAGAATCGGCTACCTATTTTTCATACCCCTAAGTGATAAGAATAAGGGTGGTCCTCCCAGACGCCACCCCAGGGACGAACCCGAGCGGAGCGAGGGTGAGTCGCTAGTTATTATATAATACAAGCAGAACCCGCGGCTTTGCTCACGCTAAAACTAGAAAAAAACCCGCTAAAAGGTAGGTTTCATACAAATTTTCATCCCCTATTTTTACCCTCTTATGGGATGAGTTTCGAAAAATGCTAAAAAATGTATTTATTTAATTGTATTGAAGAGCATTAATATCAAGTTTCAAGTAATTCTGATCATAAATATTTTTTGGGCTGTATTATAACGTGTTTTCCTGAGGGAATGAGACAATTTCTCGCGATAAAAAGTCTATGTCATCAGAATTACTTGAAACTTAGTATATTATTTTTTGAAAAAAGTTGAATAAATACGTGTTTTAGCATTTTTCGAAATTCATCCTATAAGGGGGTAACCCCTTGATGATTTTGATTGGGGATGAAAGTTTGTATGCAACTACCTTTTTCCAGATTTTATTTCAGTTTTAGCGCGAGCGAAGCTGCGGGTTTTGCTAGTTTATTATATATAGGTCGTATTTATTATAGATACGAAGCACACAGGCGAAGCCAATTGAAGTCGCTAGCTACCTAGTAATTACTACAAACAAGTTGTATTCAGCCCTTTTTAACGTCCCACTGTTGGTCACGGGCCTCCCTTCAATATGAGGAGAATCAGGCCATAGTCCACCACGCTGGCCAAATGCGGGTAGGCGGACTTTGCATGTTTTGAAAAACAAGTTAACATACGAAAATATTAGTTCGTGTAAACTTAAGTACTTACAATATTTACGTAAGTTCAGTAGTTTGAACAGTATAATTTATTAAATAACAGTATTAATCACTTTATTATCTTAATCCATAAGTTGCGGTCGAGTGACAGAGCTGATCAGATCAATTTTTGGAGAAAGCGGAGTCAATTTGAGACCGATGAGATAGAATTTAGAAAGGCTTCTAAGAAATATTCGTACAGACCGACAGTAGCACTTACCGGCGCGAAACGTTTAAACACATGCTCTGATAAGTTTAAATAACAGTGTTTTTTTTAAATCGTACCGTTAAATTTCAATGATTTTGCATAAATATGTGTTATAAATAATATGTAAGTTACTGTGTTATCGGCAACTATGTAATGTGCTATATTTCTTGACTGATATAGTGACATAAGAGAGTTATTTTTTTTTAAATGAATATCTAGTTTTGATTGATATGAATTTTGGTGCAGTTACTCGTATAATGGAAATGTGAGCTTATATTTTAAGAAAAAGTAAGTTTTTAAATATAATTTGCTAAATTTTCTATAGATTAACAGATCGGGTTATTTTCAGTTTTAAAATTAACTTGAGAAGTTCGGGAAAGTCTTTTCATATTGCATTGTTTTAAATAATCAAACCAACATCCCAAACACAATTTTGTTTTAACTATTAATTTTAATGTCGTCAAATTTGCAGCTATTAAAGATAGAAAACGGTATTTAAAATTTCGATCGCCTCTACAATAACCTGTATTTGAGAAAGCATTATTTATATATAATACACAATTCATATGCGTTCTACTTAAAATTCAGTCTGCGGTTATTCATACAAAAATATTATATGGATGGATGGAGGATATTTTAATGCAAAGGACCAACCTTTGCATTAAAATATCCTACTTATTACAAAGTAAGTTAAACTAGAAAAATTAAAATCTCCAATAATATAGTATAGAGATTAGAGGTGTAGTTTTATTTTTATTTTTATGAGTATAGTTTTTAGTTAGTGCCAAATCGCGCATCAGTAAAAAAGACACTAATATTTATAGGAGTGTCTATTTGTCCTTTAATAAGACGAATAAAAAATAATAATTCGTCCTTTATAAAATATATAAATTACAAGGAAGGACGAATGGACTAATAAATAAGTAAATAGAATAAGTAGCTCGGCTCAGCTCGGTAGGTTAATATTATTATTTTTTTGCATATATAAACTCTTGCACATAAAATCACTTATTTTATATTTAAAAAAAAAGTACCAAATATTTGTGGAAACCGACTATAGTCGGACGAATAATATATATTTTTTATTCATCCGATTATCGGACGAATAGCTACAGCCATAATTATTTATTATTCGTTCTTTTTTTAAGTACGAATAGCAACACCACCAACACCATATTTTATTAACGCGTTTTTTTACTTGTAACTATGCAATTATAGAAAGTCGATTTTAATTTTTTTATCAGGGTTCGTTTCAATACCTTCGAATTGATCTGATGATGATGATGATGAGAATTCACTGTTCACGTGTTCACTCATATTATAAAGACAGGTTCATTCTCTCATTAATCACATATAAATAAATATGTATATGTAAATATTTAGATGACCGATATAAATATTTGCTTCAAACAAGAATCGAAGTAGTTATATTCATCGCAGAAACACTACTCCGCTCAATAGTCTACCTCATGACGAGCTATTATTAAAATCAAAAGTCTGCTAAATTATCCGAAAGCGAAGCGTAAAGTAAACAAACATTTTACAAAAGTGAAAACTGGACGTTTTACGCATGTTCTTGTCAAACTTGTTTTCCCTCGTTGTAGTATCGCATTTTGATGTATTAAATCGTGCATTATGTCTTATGTCTAAGGAAAGTTCAGTTATTTACCGGAAATTGGTTGCCGAGAAAGTGACAGATATGAGTTTAATATATAAAGTTCAAAAGAATTTTCATTTACCGACTTTAAAATAGGAAAAGGTTCTCAATTCGTATTTATAATATTCGCTTGACTGATTGTTATTTTTTTATAGAAGTTAGGTATAGCTTCCTCGAGCGTTAGATGCAAAGGAAATATTCGGCTTCTCAAAATGGAATAACTTTATAAGTTTCATAGCAGTAAGGTTAAATTTGTTTTTAAAATTTAATAATATTTTTAAATTTGCATGCATAGTGTTAGTAAGGCAAAGATTACTTCGTAGTTGGCACGTACGAGTTTTTAAAGTATGTAGATTGGTTGGTGTTGTAATGACGCAACTAACACTACCCAGTGCCCATTAATCGTTCAATCCTTGTGCTATATACCTATTATTTACATACAAATATGTACATCCTTGAGAGAATCTCGATAAAATAAAGTCGCCGGCGCTAATCTCGAAAAGCACACACTAAATGTATTTTGATGAGCTTTTTGTTATCATGGTCTGCATTTCTCCAGAAAAGTTTTAGTGCATTAAACACTACCGGAGCACGTATAGGACATTAGCAATGACGGACGGTGTAGTCGGCAGGAAAAGAAAATGTATGGCAATCAAATCAAAATCTTTATATATGTAAATAAATCCGTGACCCCATAAATTTATTTATGGTTAGTTTTGTTTTTTTAAATGCAGTAATGTTTTGATGTCTTTTTAGGAAAAAAAAGATATATACTCGTAAATGTAAACGAATTAATTATTTCATCTTCATTACAATTACCTAATAGAGAAAAAGTATTGAATTATCGGCCCACCGGAGTTTGAGAGTGACAGAAATAGAGAGTACACTCTCAGTCTTATGTTTGCGCGCATACGTGCTGCACTATAATATCTCCTGCGCAGATGGCTACTCTCAATAGGATCAGCTGCTGTGGCCAAAATTGGCCAGGAGGATATTATAGAGGTAAAGTTAGTACCTATAGGATATCTTTTCGTTGGATAGATTAAAAGATAACGAAAATGAAAAATACTCTCACAACACTCATAGCTATCTAAAGACACACGTGAGAGAGGACAGGTTCATATGACTTGGACAAAAGGAAAGATACTCCCATGAAAAATATCATCATGCTATAGGTCATTCACCTCACAGTGTAAACTCATAGAATTTAATGATTCACCATAATATTCTCCACTTTCCACCGATGCGTAATGACTAATTCCAGGGCCCAGGCAACTCACTTTCTTTATAATATTTCGAAGAATATTTAAACTAGCTATTGCTAAGAACTCCACCCGCGCTTTTACTGTTTTTATTCCACAATTATTGACTAAGGTGGTGAAATATAAATATAAACCAAATTGACTGGTCATTGTAGCGTCAGGTGGACCAGCATTGATACTTTAATTTTGATGATGAACGATAAGAAAATTATTATAATTTTCAACCGACTTCAAAAATGGAGGAGGTTCTCAATTCGACTGTATGTTTTTTTTATGTTTGTTACCTCAGAACTCCGTCATTTATTAACCGATTTGACAATTTTTGTGTTGTTTGAAAGTGTATACTTCCAGATTGGTCCCATTTAAATTTAAAAAAAAAATACCACCCCTAAGGGTGAAAAAATAGCTAATGATGAATTTAACCTACTTCTAATTGTCATATTGACTTGAAACTTTGCAAGTGTTTCTATTTCCGTTGATAGTACAGTGGTTCGGTATTGTTGACCTGATCTGATGGTAAGGCCAGAAGGTGGATAGGTGGAACTCTTCAACGGCTAATAGTAAATACTTTGAGTTTGGGCTTGTTTTGTTTGATTTGACAAGCCTAATACGTTAGAATTCTTACTTTGCTACTACTGTCTACACTAAAAAGGGAAAAATAAAAACTTTTTAACAAAAAAATAAAAACCGACTTCAAACAAAAGCACTAAAAAGTAAAAAATAACTGATTGGTAGTTTTCATTTACTATACATACCTAATCAATTATATTCGAAGTCGGCTTTTACATAAATTGTATGTCCTCAAGAACAAGGTTCTTGAAATTAGCGCGGACGGACATACAAAATCAATCCTTTTATAAATAAATCGAACTACATACCACCGACCGCTTGGCATTAATGCACAACTGATAAGGTTTCCCACTACACCATAATTATGTATAGCATTTACGTTATCTTAAACGTATGTTCCAATAAAGGATATCTTCAATTAAATAAAGTAAGTACTTGTTAATGATAATGTTTTTTGAAATTTATTATTGGATTACATTAATAAGTTAGCAATCTATCTTGTAAGTTTATATGAAATTTAATTAATTAATAAGATATTATAATAGATAAATAAATGAAGCAAGGTGGTCTTTGATAAGAAACTACTTTTTTTCTTATCTATACATATCTATACATATACTCGTAATAAAATTGTAACTAAGCCGAATCTGTACATTAAATATTTTTTGGAAAATCTTATTGAAATAAACATTATTATCGATACAGAGGCCGAATCTATAGTTTTTAGATTTTTTGTCTGTCTGTCTGTCTGTCTGTTACCGCACCACAGAAAAACCACTGAAGGGATTTTGATGAAATGTGGTATGATGATAGCTGGTTATCCTGGTCAACATATAGGATACTTTTTACCGCGGGAAAATATTTCATTTTTGAGAAAAAATACAAAAACTAGAATGTAAGCGTATACTAATATATAAAACCTAAGAATTGGGTTTTGGTCATATTAACGCGGGCAGAGCCGCGGGCAATGCTAGTCTATAATACAATTCTGAGACGAATCTCTACATTAAATATTTTTTGGAAAATCTTATTGCAATAGATGACTACTTCAATAGGATTTTCCAAAAAATATTTAAATATTATCGATACAGAGGCCGAATCTATAGTTATAGTATATACTATAGCGTGTATATATATACTATAGCTATAGTAGTACTAACATACAAAAGTTTGAATAACATACTTCTTTTCTTGGTCTTTTTTTTATAAATAAATATCAAAATACAATTTCCCACTGAACAAATATAAATTAAAAAAAATCCTTACAACCTTGTTCAAGATAAATACGAGGCGACTTTAGACACAGTTGCTCGAGATGAGGATACTAACAATAAGATTTAAGGTACAAACAAGCCAATACCATACCCATAGTAGAGTAGATGTAGACTGTAGTGTATTATTTTAACATGAAATGGTGGCAACTATCTACTTATAATAAAATTGTAACTAAGCCGAATCTGTACATTAAATATTTTTTGGTAAAACTTATTGAAATAAACATTATTATCGATACAGAGGCCGAATCTATAGTTTTTAGAATTTTTGTCTGTCTGTCTGTTACCACATCACAGAAAAGACACTGAAGGGATTTTGATGAAATTTGGTATGGTGATAGTTCGTTACCCGGGTCAACATATAGGATACTTTTTACCGCGAGAAAATGAGACATATCTAAGAAAAAATACAAAAACTACAATGTAAGAGTATACTAATATATAAAACCTAAGAGTTTGGTTTTTTGTCATCTGAACGCGGGCGGAGTCGCGGGCAATGCTAGTTATATTACATTCTTTATTGCATTTTAGATATGTAACACAGATAATATAGAGTCCAATGGGGCAAAGGACTTATCTCTAAAAGAGATCTCTTCCAGTCAACCTATGGAAGTGAGAAATATATAACGGGCCGAAAACAGTGTAATTAATATAAAGTAAAATTACAAATATATACTCACACTTGAATAAGATCGAAAAGTACATACATTCGTAAAATTACGAGTATAAGTCTACATCTATACATATACCTAATAAAGCTGTAACTAAGCCGAATCTGTACATTAAATTTTTTTTTGGAAAATCTTATTGAAGTAAACATTATTATCGATACAGAGGCCGAATCTATAGTTTTTAGAATTTTTGTCTGTCTGTCTGTTACCGCATCACAGAAAAACCACTGAACGGATTTTGATGAAATTTGGTATGATGATAGCTGGTTACCCGGGTCAACAACATATAGGATACTTTTTACGGCGGGAAAATGTCTCATTTCTGAGAAAAATACAAAAACTGTAATGCTATATACTAATATGTAAAACCTAAGAATTTGGTTTTTGGTCATCTGAACGCGGGCGGAGCCGCGGGTAATGTTAGTCTGAAATATTTATTTATTAAGAAAATTCATGTCTTCTACCGTCATTGACTTCTGCAGAAATTCTGATGCAATTTTACAAAACCTTGACAGTTCATATAGTTACATATATGAGGATAGGCCGTCATTTGTTACCAGCATAAAACAAAGAACACTAAAATCATTAGATAAGATATAAAATACTGCCGGAAATATATTATTTGCAAACAAAATTGCTATAAATCGATATAGATTACCTTCTCGTCCATTCTTAGAAACGTCATCATTTGATTGAAGAAATATTATTCACTTTTTTATTAATCTGTTATTTTATATCAGCGAATAACAACTTCGTTGTTTAGTCTCTAATCTTTTTACTTTGCAAGTGGCGGATACAAACCAATAGAACTAAAACCTTATTTGATTAATTTAAAATAATGATATAAATATACTATTGTAATTTTTTTATAACTAAATGAAAGTTCTTTATAGTAGACTTGCAGGTAACCACCAGAAATAGAACAGCATGGAAGGAGAAGAGAGAGGCCTTTGCCCAGCAGTGACACTAAGCACACGGAACACTAACAGCTGAAAAAAAATGATTTTAAAAATAATTTATAATTAGTCACACCTTTTTCGAAATCATGAAACTCTTACCAGACATTATTTTTTATTCACAAATTTTGATAAAAACTATCGATATAGGTAGTTGTGTAATTTGAAAAGTTTATTAAAATTCAATTCTAATGTAATTTTTGAAGTTATACTTCTTTTGGGACAGTTGGAAAAAAATATGAGAGTAAAATTTTCAAAATACGCGCATACTGACAGCGAAATAGAACCACAGTTTTAAATTATATACATTATTGGTATCCTGGTATTATTTATCTTAATTCCACCCATTTCCATCAATAAGAAAATCTCGAATTAATATCGATTTAATTTTGCAGCACTGCCCCGAAGAAGTATCACTTAGATGCGAGTAAAATATAACAATACTATAGTAAAATATAAAAAACGCCTTCCTTAAAGGAAATCCAGAAGATTTTACGTTATTTATTTTAAGTTTTAACCCTTGGATTCTCTGATTCAGAAGGAAGCAACAAGATCAAATACATTGTGTTACGTCATCACCTGTATGCGATAGTGATTCAGTTCAAGCAAGAATGTTTGACGATCTACAAAATCAAAGGCTTTAGGCAAATGGCAAAGACCACTGTATAGTATTCTGCCATGTCTCCTATGCACGTAAATAGGCCTAAGAAGCGCAGTACTCACACCATTTACCTTTGAGAAAGCCATGCTGTGCACTATGCACAAATTTGTTACAATAACGACGATGACAGGATGACTCAGTGTCAGTTTGTAGTTACCATACTCGCTATGCCGGCGGTCGCGGGTTCGAGTCCCACTGGGAGTATTTATTTGTGTGATGGGCATGAATACTTGTGCTCCAGTCATGGATGTTTATATTTATAATATATACTTATGTATTTTAAATAATATATGTGTAGTGTATCAACAATCTGGTATCCATAGCACAGGCCTCGTATGCCTTAGCCTTACCATGGAACTAGATGATGCTGTGTGTTAATATCCCAACATACTACACATATAAAAGAAACAATGTTGTTTTGGAATACAGTCATTCATATATAATTTTTTTTTATCTGCGAAAATGAACGTGTAAGCAATGGAATATTCTTTGCATCAACTTCCATATTCGGAAAATCCATTTTAATTTATCGGTTTTATGTCGTTATGTAAAACTGAGTAAAATACTATTTAAAGTTGCCGTTATGCAAAAAATAAAGTCAAAGTAACGGGTTTGTAAGCAACGTTAATAGTAATAGATTTAATTATTTTTAATCTCACACTGAATGACCCAGTTTTACTGTTTATTTTTTTTATTTTCTTTGTTTCTAAAATATTACCGTTTCTTACAATTAATAGGTAGTCACTTTCTCTCAATGAAGTATTTATAGAATTAAACTTAGTACAAGTACATGGCAGGCATAAATTTCTCAACGTTTAACAAACTTTCTTCGCAAATTTTTTGCAAACAACGTGCGTATATCATTAGCAAATCCAATACACTGTCGTTAAGAACCAAGCGTACATATTGATTATATTTTGTAATACCAATATAATGGTTTGGAATTTAAAACTGTTCTAATTATGCAATGTGTTAAATGTACATCGACATGAGTGCAACTGGAACTGCCAAGTAGTCCTCATGTCGATTCCTGAGTTCAATTCTCGTAAAGGATAAACCAGGTTATGATAATGTAAAGAGTTGGTACGTCAGATATTTTATATTCTAGACTAATTAAGTATTCCGTCCACAATTCAGCAATCTTAACAATATATACTATTCTTTATTGCACTCATATATCAAATACAGAAATTAACATACAAAAAAATTAGCTAGCAAAGGCGACTTATCTTTAGAAGAGATCTCTTCCAGTCAAACTAAATTATAATAGAGAGATAGTATTAAAAAGCAGGCTAAAGTCCAGTTAACAATGTGTCCATTTGGCCAATTTTAATTATTTTCGTTATATTCAATTTATTTTCTAGTAACATTTTTGTGATTTTCATTATTATCATACAAGTTTTTGACTCTGTTTTTTAAGACGAAGTGCGATGCTTTCGCACTGAGACCCTTTTTTTTTAACGTTGGGCAATGTACAATGTACATACCACCTATATACATATAGTTAGATAAGTGGGACTAACCGGCTAGAAATTTCTGTAATATCTGTCAAAACTCAACGGAACTATCCTCTACTTTATGGGTCATCATAGGATTACTAACGCACTCGACCACAACAACCAAGGGTTTGTTTCCATCGTCCATTGGTCAGGGAATAGTTTTGGGTAGTCATTTTAGTATCCCAAAATATCTTTATTTTTTTTAAAGTACCTGTACTACATATACCTACAGATAAATAAAATTGAAGTATCTGTTTGTAATATCAGAATAACAACTTTTTACTAAAGGACACAATTTTTAAAAATTTGTCTGTCTGTCTCTTTGTTCCGGGCTCCGGCTAATCTTCGAAACAGTTAGGCCGATTTTGACAGGACTTTCACTAGCAGATAGCTGATATTATAAAGAGTAGTTTAGGTTACTTTTATTTTAGAAAAAGAATTAGGATTACGCTCAAAAAATTAAAACGTACCTAATGACGAACTCGAGCGAAGCGAAAGTAAGTCGCGAGTTTAGAATAATAATCTAAGAGTCGACTATATTTCAAGGTATAATTCTAAGCATGTATAGATGTGCAAGGTTAAATATGCAAGGTTCCTTACCCACAGTAGATACAGATAATTTACCCTTATGGTGTGACTCCAGATAGTGATTATTTATCGGCTGATAACACAAGAAATCTATTCATATAAGCTGTAATCAATCAATTTTATGACAGTAAAGATAGTGTCTTAAATGAAAGTTATGAATAGAATTAAGTTCGAAAAGTAAAAGAATATGGTAGGTAATAAATCAAAACTCAAAAGTTCAATTAAAACCATATTATATAATGACAATTACAATTTTCATTCTCATCTCCTAAGAAATTTTTGCGTTTACTTTTTCTGAAAGTAGGATAATGATACAATAAATATCTAGTACCTATATTTTTATAACAACTTTTAATACCAACATTTCAAATAGTATTCGACTACTGCTTCAAATACAATTGTCAGCTTTTTTAACAATAAATTAAGGTGAATAAAATAATATCTACGACCTAATTTCTATTCTAAATTCCTAATATTCCATGGGAACTATATATTTTTCCGCGATAATAACCTATGTGCTATTTCAGACTATAAACTATCTCTATGCCAAATTCCATCCAGATCCGTTCAGCCGTTCTGGCGTGATTGAGTAACAAACATCCATCCAAACTTTAATGGGATGGGATGGGATGTAGAAACATAAATATGAATATAAACTATATATTTCTTTCAGATGCTTTCCCACCTCTTAGCTCTATCGACTATAATAGTATTGGTAGCAGGTCATGGGAGATTGTTGGATCCTCCATCCAGAGCTTCAATATGGAGATTTAATGCAAACGCTAAACCTAATTACGACGACGCCGGCCTGAACTGTGGAGGAGTGTATCGGCAACATGTTCGTAATAGAGGAAAGTAAGTGCGCTTTCTTATGTAGTCTTGAGTCCATGATATAATAATAAAATTGGTTGATAAAAATATTTAATAAAAACAGGTGTGGTATTTGTGGGGACCCGTACGACATGAAGGAGCCTAGGCCACATGAAATAGGAGGCACTTTCGGCAAAGGCATCATTGCAGCAAAGTACAAAGCTGAACAAATATTGCCAATAACAGTTGAAATAACTGCTTTCCACCAAGGCTACTGGACCTTCAAGATCTGTCCAAACCCTAAATCAACGTCTCAGTCATGCTTTGATAAATACCCGCTTGAACTTGTTAATGGAGATATGAAATTTTATCCCCCAACACAAGGAAAGCATATTGTAAAGTATCGACTTCCAAAAGGGTTATATTGTGAGCATTGTGTTCTCCAATGGAGATATATTGCTGGTAATAGTTGGGGTGATTGCGACAATGGAACCTCACAATTAGGGTGTGGAAGTCAGGAAACTTTTGGAGCCTGTTCAGATATATCCATCAGTGCGCCTAATTTCATCCAAGGAGGATCGATGCCGACACACGTAGCTTATTCAGGCAATGTCGATAAAGGTGAGAATATAACAAAACTGACAATATAACTTCATACGAAGCTATTTTAACAAATAACTTAACTAATATTTATAATTTTAAGAAGAAAGGAGGTTAATTTATAAGATTTGAATCTATAACTGGCCAGTACTAATAATTTTTTTTTAGATTTTAAGGTAATATTTTAAGATTAGAACAGATATTTTTATCTTCTTTAATCTTTACCAGTCAAGTAATATTAACTCAAATCAACTATGTTTTTGTACTATAAAGAAATTGTCTTTATTACATTTTTTTATAGTTTGTCGCTCGTTTAAAGTAAGGTTTGTCGATAAAGTTATAAAGCAGCATTTTTAAGTTTACCACGAAAAAGGTTTCTCAGGTTTTCTCAGTTTAAGGCTTATATTTTATAAGTAGTCTTCTAATTTGTTGTCTCTACTCGCTTAAATTTAAGTAAAAGTAAGTTAGGATAATGGAACTAAAGTTTATGCCAAATAAATACCAAAAACTAGTCAAAAAAAGAGTTTGTCTAGAAGTATCTACTGACATGACTTCTTTTAAGATAACTTTAATTCGTCAAGAGATGTAATATAAATATTTGATAGATATAAAATTTTATATAAATATAAATAAATATACGTAATAACTTGTGTTATCTATATTTTTATTGTTTTATTCTTCCCATAAAACCCAAAATACTTCCTAATCAATAACAGTATAAATACTAAGAAAGAAGTTGTAATAAAAATCGACGTAAAATCAAACACTTGCCTCTGAATCTAAGAACATTTTATACAATTTCCACATTGAGTTGAGTCGCGAATTTCGCGATTTACATATCTAATAAATTTATTTGTAATTATATATATGTGTAATTATATAGGTATATTGTCTCGAATGCGACTAACATTAACTAAATCGGTCAAGTGTGAGTCGATTTCCTAAATAAATCAGTATATAACAGATTTTTCAAAGTCATTAAGAAATATAGAGTCAGATAACATTTAATTTATTTAAATACAAAACATCTAATAATAATGCTAATAAAAAAATATTTTTCGGGGAAAATTTCAAGACGCTTGTATATAATTTTCTTACCTTTTCACTATATAAAATTACGTTATTTAACTTTCTTCAAATATACGTAATTTGAAGAAAGTTAAGTTACTTTGATATCTATAATCATTAATCTCAATGATAGTAGTAAAAGTAACGCATGCAATAAACTCGGTCGTAAGGTCAAATTCTTTGCAAGTCATGTTATATATATATATATATATATATATATATATATATATATATATATATATATATTTAATTAAGAAAAAAATATAGTGTCTCTTACATTGAGTTTTTATATGTATATTTTTTTAATATAATCATTACTGCAAAATGGAAAAAATACATACATATGTATATACATATATGAATAGAGTTTATCTATCTATATAAAAAAACTAACGTCTAACATAATTTTAAAGCTAAAGCTCGTCAATAGCTACTAAATAAAAAAAAAAGAAAAAGAAAATCGATTGACAAATAGAGGAGAAAATGGTAAGTACTCAACTGTTGTCTCTTCGCCATTTTATTTCTTATATCTATATATAGATGTTTCTACGTATTTGGTTTATTACTTGCTTTTAGCTTGTAATAAGGCATCGCTGATTTATGGTGGTGTTTTGATATATTCTAGTCTTTGATAACTTAAACGTTATATAGTAGGTACCTATCTATTATTACAATTCTACATATATATTTGTATCCTATAGGAATATTTCGATATATTCTATCCAATTCAACATAAAAATATGGATAAAAGGATAACACTAAACATGTTTTATTGATGTATTATATATTTAATATTTAAGTTAAAAAAACTCTTTCAATTTATGAAGTGACTATTCGCCTAGTCTACAGGAAGCTTTCCCGTAGTTGACTCATGGATCGAATGAATTTAGCATTACATTTAACTATAAATAAGTTCTCAAAAACAAATTATGTGATATAGGTTTTAAATTAAATGAAAATAATATTAAATTCTCTCTATTTTGCGTTCATTATGTTTGTATGACATCAAATTATGGAACTCGGCTACAGGAACTGGTGATAAATATATATCTAGTGATACGTCATATTGTGCGTACGGGATATAGATAAAGGTTAATGATTAGAAATACATAATTTTTTTATGAAATTTTATGATTATTGAAAATTATGAATAGGTAGTAGGTACTTCCCACTTATAATTAACTAGCGACTCACCATCGCTTCGCTCGGGTTCATCCCTAGGTTGATTCCTCGTACAAACTTTCATCCCAATTTTGAACACCTTAAGGGATGATTTCCTAGATAAAACTATCCTATGTCCTTCCCAGGGTCTGAAACTATCTTCTTACCAAATTTCATCTAAATCGGTTCAGTAGTTCATGGGATAGACTCTCCCAGATATCGCTGTAAAACATTCGAAACCTAAGGAACCAAAAATATACTCGTAAATAAATCCGTGAAAACCTGCAGAGCATATTTAGTTTATTTAAAAGTAGTAACTACTCACTTCGTTTGGGTTCGTCCCTAGGTACGTTTTAACGGTTAGTATGGAATAGATCAGCTATACTCAACTTGCGGCCCGCGGGCCGCATGCGGCAGCATCAAAAATCGCAATATAACATATCTTTGTTAAAAAAGTAACTACATCGTTAACTTGGAATTACGTTTTCATTATGACCTAAATAATTTTTGCTTGCGGCCCTCGACATCATGACTGAAACGTGTTTGTGGCCCCTATAAAAAAAAAGGTTGAGTATGGCTGGAATAGATAGACCATATGATATATAAACATAGGCATGATGAGTTGTTATAGGTTGTATTATAACGTGTTTTCTCATGGGAATGAGATTATCTCCCGCGGTAAAAAGAAGCCTAAGTCATTCTCCAGCCCTCCGACTATCTCCACATACAAAATTATGCCTATCTGTTTCGACGTGAAAGAAGAACAAACTGTATGACGTAAAAAGAGGAAGTGCCAAATCTACAAATGCATTCAAGTAGTTAATGTTAATTTTAAGGTTGCGTTCATATTATAAAGTAGTAGTGAGAAAAAAGAAAAATGAGATTTTTACATTTTGTCGTGAATTTTTCTAATTTTTCTGTTCATAAGAACCTTCCTCGAACTTCAACGAGTATTTGAAAAAAAAAAATTACCGAATTGGTCTAGCCTTGGTTTGCGCTTAGCAATACATTTCTTATTTATATTAGCCATTCATTTTCATTTATATGTAGGTATAGATGTATAGATATAGATGTCAAATATTCCTTGGCACTAAAAAGAAAGTGACTTATTAATTTATTATAATAATTCTTTTTATGTTTTAGATCTGCTGGACTTCTTACGGAAAATGACACGAAAGACCATTAAAAAGAAACCAAATAAACCGTCAATTAAACATAAAAATAAGCATAAAAAGAAAAGCAATCGAAAACCTAGAGAAAGACAAACTAAACACTCCAAAAGAAAAAAGGTTTGTATTCTTTATATTTTAAACGCTCTTGTAACAGTGCTCAGTGCTCACTGCTTTGGAGGTCATACGTTCGATTCTTCTATGGAACGATTATACATATCATGCCTGTCTTAGATACCCTTAATTTTCACTCAATATCGTATATACGATTACCAATTGCAGAGGTTAAAATAGACAACTTTGAACCTTTTTATTTTATTTATTTCTTTATTGGCTTATAGTTGCGTTAACAGACGCAATACATTCTGCCAGTGTCACGTTTTGTGAGGAAGACACGAATGAGATTGAGCGGTAATTTTGAAATTTGGTAACTTTAATGTGGAATTAAAACTATAAATGTAATGAACGGTCTACAAGAGTAACCTACAACAATAGAAAAATAATTATGTAATACACAAATGACACAGTGATTGATAGTGAAAATAATGAGAACTATATTATAATTTAATTTTGTTATCTACTATAAATTTAACTAGTTTTTTTTTTCATAAATGGGCTAAATACAAGGGCTAATAAACATTTGGTGTTAACTGGGAACTTTTTAACTTATTTTTTTAAGTATTTCAAAATTTTGTCTTAATTGATAAATTGGATGATGACAGAAGTTAGATCTATTTAAAGTAATTATTTCAGTGTTTCTATTAATTTTTATATGGCCATCATTGAGGCACAACTGATTCATTAAAAAAGAATTACGAAAATCGATTTACAATAGGCGATAATATAAACAATACATAACATACCCACAAAATATACAATATACACAAAACTAGCACCTCTGACTTTTGAAATCGGTCTAAAATAGTAGCTTATTTAAGATAATTTACTTTATTTATAATCTAAATCAAAGTAAAACAATTATATTAGTATGCACGTACTTATTTAATTGAATCTTTTTTCTCTTTCAGGTCTTCTTTTGGGAATGAGCGTATTAGAATACCTACCAATAAAAATTAAGGGCTGAAATTTAAATAGACTAAGTAACAATTAAATTATAATTAAAATAAAAACACAGAAGGTTTGTTTCAGTTAATTTATTTCCGATACATATACATTTATGATATCTTACCTTTGCTATCTATTGAATAACAACTTAAAGTACAGTCAAAGTCAATAATCTATTTTATGTAGTATAATTATTTTTTATTGATCTAGTATAGTTTTTTTTTATTGAAATATAAATATTCTTTTCTTCCTAATATTTTGTTGACTTTATAATATAACTAGCAACTCACCCTCGCTTTGCTCGGTTTCATCCCTAGGTTGCCTCCCCATACAAACTTTCATCTCTATTTTAACCTCCTTAAGGAATGATTTCCGGGATAAAAAGTATCTTTCCAGGGTATCAAACTATCTTCTTAGCAAATTTCATTTAATTCGGTTTAGTAGATCCAGAGATTACCTCCTTTTTTTAAGTATTTCAAAATTTTGTCTTAATTGACAAATTCGATGATGACAGAAATTTTGATCTATTTAATTAAAGTAATTATTTCAGTTTTTCTTTTAATTTCTACATGACCATCATTGAGGCACAACTGATTCATTAAAAAAAGAATTACCTCTTACAACCTCACAAACTTTACCTCCTTATAATATTAGTATAGATTAACACCAAATAAAATGTAAGTATGCATCTGCATTCAGTTATAATAGAATTAAATATCAAATATTTATTGAATGCGACTGTACTTTTAGACTAAGGCCTATTGACTCTTAAAATGAGGTATATTAATAAAATTAAACATAAACAACACGAATTCGAAAACATGTTTGAAATAAAACTATTTTTCAGATATTTCTGCGTATTATTTTTGGTTTTCATTCACTATGTTTCAAATACTTTAATTTAAAGAAAGATTGTCCTGTGACCATTTTTATTCCTAAAAAATAATTTTATTACAAATATCAAATATTCGTGTAGCAAGAAATCTAAGTAAAACGTGTTTTAATAAAAAAAAAACATATTGACATTGACAGATTAGCAATATCTACATACATATTTTATACCTCAATTTCGATCATTTTTATAATATTATGGTCTTATTTGTATAATAGATAAAAACAACCTAAGCATTGGAAGCATGACAGTTGCGATAGTTGAAACAGACGCATTTAATGCACTCAAAAACACGTACAGACATACAAATTTGTAATCTGATACAGTAATATCTTATTGATTATACAGTAATATCTTATTGATTATTATTATTAAACGTTAAAAAATTATTGTTATTGCAGAATGCCTTTAAGTACATTCGTTAGCTTATAGATTTTTTGTTTGTTGATAAAAGTATGTTGGAGATAAACACTGGAAAAATTATATCAAAATAATTATTATGAAACAGTATGTAACAACATATAAGTAGTATATAGCAGTGGCAAAAAATCAAAACAATTTTTATATACGTATTAATGCTGAAAGAATGTAATGATGAAATGTATATATATACATATATATATATATATATATACATATATATATATATATAAATATATATATATATATATATATATATATATCTTAATATATATATTTCTTGTGTGCGTGTGTATGTGACTGAACTCCTCCTAAACGACTGGACCAATTTTGATGAAATTTTTTGTGTGTGTTCAAGGGGATCTGGGAATGGTTTAGATTCACAATTTGAATAATAATTTTTTATCAAAAAAATTATTAAAAAAAGTTTGAAATTTTCAAATTAAAGACGTGTAGACAGGACAACGTCTGTCGGGTCCGCTAGTATATATATATAAAGTATCGCCACATGTAAGATAATTAAAAATAAAGTATATAATTAAGAACACGCTTCATACATAATTAGGACTCTATATAGTGTATAAGTATCCCTATGGATACAAAGCTCCATACAACGCTACACTACTATATATCGGGGTGATGTGTCCTTAACAGCTCATCATATGTGTCATGTAGGTAGATATAAAACAAACAAACGGGTAGATACAATACAAGCCAACGCCTATTTGTTTTACCAATAAATCATTCATTCAGCGATAGTCCGTCTTTCATTTCATACATTACAATTGGCGCAGTCGGTTTCCTAAAAATAAGTTTAGTTTTTTTTTCATCATACTATGCCTTTTGGGAAAATAGAAACTTTTGAAGTAGGTTCCCATAACTGGGATGCCTATTGTAGAAGAATAAAGCAGTTTATAACATTAAATGACATTAGTGAACATTTGCACGTGGCCACGCTAGTCACACACGTTGGCGTGTCTTGCTACGAGTTAATGTGTGATTTATGCTCCCCGGATTTACCTGAAGATAAAACATTTGATGAGCTCGTGGATATCGTTAAAAATCATCTGGAGCCGCAGAGGTCGGAGATTGCTGAACGCCATATATTTCGGCAGCGGAAACAACTTCAAGGCGAGACTGTGAGTGATTACTTACAAAGTTTAAAGCATCTGGCGAAAACATGTAATTTTCGCGATACTCTAGAAATCAATATAAGGGATCAATTCGTCTCTGGACTTATTAATGAAGATATGAGGTCAAGGTTGTTTGCCGAGCGAGATATCGATTATAAACGTGCTATTGAACTCGCATTAGCATTAGAAGCGGCGGACAGGCACGCAGCAGAGGCGGCGTCCGGTGCTAGCAATGGAGTTGCGGAAGGGTTACATAACGTAAGGATGAAGCGTATCGTCGGCGTGACGGCGAGCCGGGACGCAGCGGGCGGCGCGAGCGGCGCTGCAGCGAGCGACGGCGGCGGCGCGCGGCGTGCGTGTTCGCGCTGCGGACGCGCGGGGCACGGGCCAGCGCGGTGTCGATTTAAGCAGTACACGTGTGATAATTGTGGACAAAAAGGTCATCTTAAAGTTGTGTGTCAAAATTACAAAAGTGTTAGCAACAGTGAGTACCAGAAACATCATAAAGGTCAGTTCTTTTTAGATGATTCAAGTGACAGTGATTTAAATTTTTATAATTTATCATGTAATCGTGATGATAAACCATATTATATCAATTTAACTATTGAAAACATTTTATTAAAGTTTGAAATCGATACCGGTAGTAAAATATCTGTTATTTCTAAACAATGTTATGATAATTATTTTGCAAATATTTGTTTACAACACAAGCATCTACGATTAAAATCTTATACGGGAAATATTATTGAACCTCTGGGTTACATATTAGTTAATGTAAAATACAATAATTGTTTGTTTAAGTTACAATTATTTGTTATTAAAAATGGTGGCCCGCCATTGTTAGGTCGTACTTGGATCAGATGTTTACAACTTAATATTACAAACTGTTTCAGTATATGTGATAACGATGAAAACATTGATAATTCTATAGAATTACTGCGTAAGGAATTTCCTGAAGTTTTTGCTGATGGGCTTGGGACTTTTAAAACACAAATGCAATTGCATCTCGCCGATAAAACACCCATATTTGTTAAGGCGCGGCCGTTGCCTCTGGCCTTAAGGGCACCGGTCGAACGCGAACTTGAGCGATTGCAACGCGAAGATGTCATTTATAAAGTAGATAGTTCCGAATACGGTACACCTATTGTTCCCATAATTAAAAAAAATGGTTCTATACGAATATGTGGAGATTACAAAATAACGATTAATCCGCGTTTAAAAGATTTTCATTATCCTCTTCCCCGAATCGAAGATATTTTTGCTACACTCGCGGGGGGTGAGCAATTTTCTAAACTTGATTTGTCCCATGCCTATCAGCAGGTTCTTCTTACAGAAGATTCTAGACCCATGACTGCAATAACCACGCATATAGGTACTTTTGTATATAAGCGGGTTCCATTTGGGATTAAATGTATACCTGAGAATTTTGAAAAACTGATTGAGGAAACTTTGAATGGCTTACCTTGTACTGTTGCATTCCAAGACGATATATGTGTCACTGGGAAAGACAAACAAACCCATTTCGAAAACTTACGTGCTGTGTTATCTAGGTTAAAGGAGGCAGGTTTGCGTGTAAATTGGTCAAAATGTGAATTTTTTAAAAATAGTGTAACTTATCTTGGATATAGAATTGATAAGCTGGGCTTGCATACAGATACGGAAAAAGTTAAAGCTATTGTCGCGGCGCCATCACCGAATGATTTTACGCAATTAAAAAGTTTTTTAGGCCTTGTAAATTTTTATAGTAAATTTTGTGTTAACATGAGTAGTGTTCTTAGACCTTTGTATAACTTGCTAAAAAAAAATGTAAAATGGTACTGGAGTTCGGAGTGTGAATGCGCTTTCAACAAAATTAAAAAAATATTAATTAGTTCCCCGGTATTAGCTCATTATGACGCGAACTTGCCCTTGCTCTTATCAGTCGACAGCAGTGCGTACGGTTTAGGTGCAGTGCTATCTCACCGCTATCCCGACGGCACGGAGCGACCGGTCAGTTGCGCTTCTCGCACGCTTAATGACGCCGAGCGAAATTATTCGCAAATCGACAAAGAAGCACTGGCAATAGTTTTCGGTGTTACAAAACACCACCAATATTTATTTGGTAGACACTTCATTCTGAGAAGCGATCATCGAGCTTTAAGCTATATTTTTGGGAAAAATAAGGGTATTCCACAAACGGCGGCTAGTCGTTTGCAAAGATATGCTTTACGTTTAGCAGCTTATACTTTTGACATAGAATTTATACCTTCTACGAAAAATTGCTTTGCTGATGCATTATCTCGCTTACCATTACACATACATAAGACTAAGAATAAAGTGCAAAAGAATGAAAATAATAGCTATTTATTTTTTATTCAAGATAAATTGCCTGTAACATTTCATGAAGTAAAAAATGAAACTAGTAAAGATTTAATTCTTAATAAGATAGTTAGTTTTGTTAAATTCGGTTGGCCTAAGGAGTTAAATAATAACATTTATAAGCCATTTTATATAAGACGAGATAATTTATTTTTGGAACAAGGTTGTTTAGTTTGGGGTTATCGTATTGTTATACCTAGCAAATTACAAGCTTTTGTTTTAGACGAGTTACATGCGGGGCACATAGGTGTTGTTAAAATGAAACAACTGGCGCGCAACTATGTCTGGTGGAGCGGTATTGACTCGGATATCGAACGTGTGTGCCGCGAGTGTAAGCCATGTTGCGCGCAACGCGCTCAGCCCCCGCCAGCACCACTTCACACATGGGAATGGCCTACTGAACCTTGGATTCGATTAAATATAGACTTTTTAGGTCCGTTCCGGAATAGGTATTATTTAGTACTATTAGATGCTCATTCTAAGTGGTTGGAAGTAGATTGTGTAGTCAACACATCTGCTCCTATTGTTATCGCAAGTTTACGTAAAATATTTTCTAGGTTCGGTCTACCTAAGTTTATAGTTAGTGACAACGGACCGCCATTTTCCTCAAACCAGTATTTGTCGTATTTAAATAATAACGGTATTAAAAGAGTTTTAGTGGCTCCGTATCATCCCTCTAGTAATGGTGCAGCCGAAAATGTAGTAAAGACAGTTAAGTTAGTATTGAAAAAGGCAGTTTTACAAAATGAAAATATTGATGAGGCCCTTTGCAAATTTCTATTCACTTACAGAAATACTGAGCATTGTACGACACAAAAAGAACCTTCGGTAGCACTTATGGGTCATAGGTTACGCGGAAGGTTAGATCTCTTACGTCCGAGTACTCGCGATGTAGTGCTTGATAAGCAACAGGCACAACAAGCTCGTCATGGAGGGGTTGTGCGAGACATGTCCCCCGGGGACCGAGTATTGGTTCGAAATTATAACGACAGCTTAGTTAAATGGAAGGAAGGGGTAGTAGTAGAAAAAAGGGGGCCGGTCTCCTATGTTGTTAAAACAGATAGCGATGATCGTATTAGTAAAAGACACGTTGACCAGTTATTAAAGAAAAATGTACGATTTTCGCGTTATTCGTTGCCGACATCAAGTTGTACTCAGCCATCCAGTCCTTATAAGGCAGATTCTTTAATAAATACATCTTCAACATCTATATTCCAATCTCCTTTGTCAGATAAAAATAGTTCGGAACTGAATAATGACAATAGGAAAGCGCAGTCACCTCCGTTGTATCCTACTGAACCGTCACATTCACAATCATTAAAGCCTCAGCCTGAAAAATATGTTTCTCATGGTATGACGTTAAGACCTCGCAAAAAGTATTGTAAGTTAGAGTTTAAGACATTAATATTGTACGGGACGTATACTAATTTGTTGTCCTTTATAACATGTATTCTTAGATTATGCTTAGTTTAACTTTAACTGTATTCTTAAGGAAGTTGTTTTGTTAATTGTTTTAATGATTACATTACTTAATTAAAGGGGGAGAAAATGTCATGTAGGTAGATATAAAACAAACAAACGGGTAGATACAATACAAGCCAACGCCTATTTGTTTTACCAATAAATCATTCATTCAGCGATAGTCCGTCTTTCATTTCATACATTACAATATGTAATTTTTTTTTCATTTCATTCGGTTTCAACTGTTGACAATATCCAGATATACATATACGTGCGTTATATTCATTCGTCTCTATTGGGACTTGATCTTTCATCATTCTAAATATTTCCATCGCTATTTATTTTGCTTCCCCAAAGAACTATACTAGTTCGATAGTAATGAAATATTGCATTGTAATATGGATTTCACATACAGTTTAAAATCCATAATTCAAAGTCATTTTTTAACTTACAAAATTTGATGACATAATTAATTAAAACAAACAAGAGAAACTAATAAATATTGTATTGAAATTCTAACAAAATGGGAATCTCCACATTTATTGATTTGCACATATCAGAGGTGCAAGACCCGGGACTTGAACCCGCTCGCTCGGTTTCTACCATTACCTCCAATCTTCGCATATTCCTAATAAAATCTGATTTAAATTAACCACTGTTGAATTTTGGATATTCTATAGTTCATCTTAGTATTTCAATCAATAAGATATTACAATAGGCATCGATCAAAAAAGTACTAGATACAAAATCAGCGACAAAAAATGTCCTCACCGGATGAGCACTCATTTGGACTTTTGAATGCGCAATAAAAAAATTTTTGTATAAATTTTAAGTTGAAGTTAAGGTTCAATTTGCATTGTTATATATTTATTTCAACTAGAATAATTATCTAAACACAATTGGTGACAGTTTTAAGAGACCTTTTGCATGGGATTGTGTATATAGCACATTTTTAATTGATGACAATAGGTAAAAATTATTATTTATACAAGCATCATCAACACAGCCTGAAGAAAATTTAATTATAATCTAATCACAACTACATTTTCTACTGAGTAGAGTCTTAAATCAAATGACAAATAGAGACAACATGAATAATTTCTATAACTCTCAACGTTATATGTGATTTAATTTCTTTAACATATTTTATAACGGTTTAAAATTAACGTACATTTAAAAAAAACTCGTATATAAAAACCGCGAAAGCCAAAGAAAATACTACTTTATCGTTTTAAAATGTTCTCTAACAATGTTTCAGACTAACTAAATTACAAACTTACCAAAAGGTAGAGAGAAAATGCCAAATATTTTCATTTATATATTATCTTTACAATAATCAACAAAATTTCAGCCATTGTGCCAATAAAATATTTACAAACTATTAACATCCGTAAATATTTTTTATCTATGTATTATATCATATATTTCATTTTATTTATTTTTTTATATTTTTATTTAAACTTTATAATCTGATTGATATAGTAATATGGACACGCCCTTCGTTTACGTTTGACCGACTTTAAACAAAAAAAATCATCCATTCTTTAAATACCATTTAGGCATATTTAAACATATTGCACGTGATTTTTATTTATTTTTGATAAAAAATTAAGTCAAATGTTTATTTATTTGCAATATAGCTACCAAAGCATGAGATTTCATACGGTTGAATAAGTTGTTTCTGTTGTTTTCATAAAACCAACAGAAGTGGAGTACATCTCAAATGAACCGTATAAAAATATAAATTATAATATTATTATTTGTTTCTATATTTCATAAAGGCATATCCATATTTATCAATCATCAAAACTAGTACATCAATACTCTCTAGTTACTACAACTTATTATGGAGGGTAGAGCTAAGGAGAACTATCTCTGTGATAAAAAATTGTCCGTCGAAAAGCGATAAATTAGGATGGCGCCACTGTAGCAAATGAGTACATTTTGAAAAAAGCGCCAAAAATATTACTAAAAATTCACAAAAAATAAATCACTCTCTACGTTTATATCACCACTGTTTTTTCGCTTATATTTACTTAATAATTTTGGACTACGTAAATAGTTTCAATAACTAACTACTCTAGTCACCCAAAATATTGATATTTTCAACTCGGCTCACTTCACTCAGTTTACAACTCCTAACTCCATAGAATATCCTCTTGCTACGCTAGCGCCATTCTGGTGGGTTTTTTGTTTTGTTTATTTACCGCTTACAGATGGGACACTTTTTCAACTTGTCTCCCTTAAATAGTTCTCCCTCCATACTACAATTACACAGGAATTTAGACATGGATAAAAAAAAATTAAGTCCACAGAATATAAATAACAAAATGCATTCAAATTATATCTAATTTAATCACACGTGATCGGCAACTTAAGTGCAAACATTAAAAAAAACACAAAAACAGAAATATAATCAATATAAACCATTAGTGTAAAACCTGGATTAACCATCATTCACTTTTTACCAGACGAAAAATATTTTGCATAAAACATATAACATACATTATGAAATATCCTTAAAGCTGCATTAAATAAAAAAAATAAAGTTTTTATTTAAGATTTCCTCACTCTATTATCAACTAAATTTAAATCAAAAGTGATTGGGCGACATCCGCTTCGCTCGATGTAGGTATCATTGGCGACAATGCAAGTACCACAAACATTTACGATATGGCGCTATATGACATTGTCAACATGAGAGCAGATAGAAAAATCTCTAATAACAATTAGTATACGAAACAAAAGAATTGATATATATATATATATATATATTATATATATATATATATATATATATATATTTGGAAAGAATTGCGTTTTTTCAGAAGTCACCTAAATAGATAAAATGCAAAACTTTATCTAAACACAAAATTCATTCCAAATCGTTAGAGCCATTTCCGAGATACACTAAAGAAATTTATATGTATACAAGAATTGCTCATTTAATATTATAAGATGTTTAATACAAAATATCATCTGACAAGCAAGAAAAGGATGGTTTTACCTCAGATCTTATACTAATTCATGTGTTAAGAAAAAAGAAAAAAATATACACAAAAACAAAGTGAAAAGAAATTTAAGGCATTCATGGCTTAAAACATTACAACCTAATATATAAATAACGCGCTAAAATGACCAAATTCATTACTATATCTAGTTTCTTATTCACATCTATTATTACATATCTATTATAGAAAGCAGTCGCATCTAAATTTTTAAATAAAATATTAACTTTAAGGTCATGCAAATAATAAAGGTTATTGCTCTTTATTTCAAGATTAAAAGCAAATATTTTGATATAATAAAAAGCCATTCAGTCCATTGATTTTTTTTATATTAATTGTGAAAATAATTATTTTTAAATTCATACTTTTTAGAATATTAAAGTTGCCATTTTAAAATATGAATTAGAAAAAAATTGTATTAATAAAAAAGGTTTTCGATGCGACTCCATATTATAAACACGTATACCTTGTTAGGTCTTTGGGAATAAATAGAGGTATTGAAATGCAAAATACGAAATGTAAAATTTAAATTATTCCCCAAAACAGATTTTAAACACTGTTAATTTATGATAATATTATAATAAAATAGACTTATGTAAGTGTTTTAGGACATTCCTATATGATAAATACTCATAGCCCAAATTATTATTATGTGAGTTCAATGATCTTCATTTGTATAGAAAATCATATCTGTACAATATGGATAATTATTGTACAACTAAAATATATTTTGTAAGTATCATGTACTTTAGAGGGTAATGTTAAAGGAATATATATATAACATTTAGTTGATATGTAAATAATTGCCATCGCAATGCTGTCATATACAAACACTCAAAGAGTAAAACAGAAATTAAAATAGTAACTTTTATAATTTAAAAACTTGATTAAATTGGCAATTTAAGAAAGTACCAAGCAACGCAGCTAAATTAATAAAAAAAAAGAAAGAGCGTAACTATTTTCCAATTTAATTTAACCAAACATATACCCAAAATAAATAATACTCCCATAGTAAAAGCTCAAATCAGGATAATATTTATCCCGTCACATTGATTCTACCATCCTATACTTAATCGACTACAATCCACAAAGATACCTGCATAGTTCATTTCCCCAACACTAGCTTTAAAATTCCAATATATATATATATACTCAATTTAGAATAACAAATATATAATATCAATTCTTAATGCTACATGAATCCCATTTACATAATAGACCACTAACATGAGAATTAAAAAAAATCCCAAATCAACAACAATATACAACCAAAAATAAAATAAGCAGTCATGGGGACTGCCAACAGAAGTGAAAACTTATAACTTTTGAATAAATGTTTTTTTTTTTAATTTTAAATTAATTTAGTGTGAATATTTAAAAAAAAATGTACATTGAAATTATAATAAGTCTGGTTTTCACATCCATTGGCACTCCGAGCATTGTCGCACGTAGCGTGTTGGTGACGCGAACGTATAAGTTTTGCTCCTATCATTTTCATTTCAAAAAAAAATAAGAAAAAACTGACAAACATACATTCATACATACACAACTCCCACAATAATAACTCGAGTATACTCGGCTACAATCCTATCGTCTATCCTGCATACGCCGTTCTTAGTCCAGTTCTATCCGCATAGAGGGCGCCAGCGAGCCGCACTGTATTTTAGACTCCTTCAACTTGCCGAGAGCCAGTTTTAAATCTTCCATTGTGATTGGACGAACTGCGTCTACAAATTCCTCGTCTGAATCTGATGTACTTGATTTGTTTATCGCCTGAAAATAAAAATAATGTTGTTTGTCAGTATTTTTATAATTTAAATTGTATAAATATAAGCGTGAAGTTTGCAAAGACTTTGGTCTATCTGCCTATCCCCATAATAGATAAAGCGTGTTGTTCTGTAGTCAGCTTACGTTCTATATTTTTTTGCTTTATTAGCAAGTGGTAATTATAAATAAATAAATATGTTGGGACATTAACACACATCACCATCTAGTGCCATGGTAAGCTACGAGGCTTGTGTTATGGATACCAGATAGTTATTCACTACACATATATAAACTTTAAATACATACATATTATAAATATAAACACCCATGACTAGAGCGCAAACATTCGTGCTCATCACACAACGAATGCCCCTAGCGGGACTCAAACCCGCGACCGCTGACACAGCAAGTAGGGTCACTACCGACTGAGCTAAACGTGTCGTCATGTTGAAACAATTATCGTAATATGCACATCTCAAAAGCACGAATCCCAATGGTTTTGATACTGTTACAAAACAAGCAGGGTAATAACAGGCTATAGCGTATCATACAATACTAAGCCATCACTAAATAATTATAACATGTTATAACAGACGTGTCCCACCTGCGCCTGTGTCCATCAGTAACTATAACAGCCGTGACCCACCTTTTTTTTTTAACGTTGGGAAATGCATTTACGCACGATGTGTGGGACTCACCGGCGTAATACAGCCAGTACTACCCACTAAAACCCAACAAAACCTTCCCCCGTCTTAATGGGGCGTCGCAGGATCACTTACGCATTCAACTACGACGCCCCGACGGCAGGTCTGCCGAAGCAGACCACCACAACCATGGGGTTGCTCCAATGTCCACTCTGCTATCAGAGAAGTACCAGGAGCAACCTGCACCTACCTGCCCTGTGTCCATCAGTAACTTTAGCAGCCGTGACCCATCTGCACCTGTATCCATCAGTAATTATAACAGCCGTGACCCACCTGCGCGTGTTTCCATTAGTAACTATAAAGCCGTGACCCACCTGCGCCTGCGCGTCCTCCCGCGCCAGCTCGTCGCGCGCCAGGTCGCGCACGCGGTACACGGCGGCCTGGCGACACAGCTCGTGCAGGTCCGAGCCAGAGAAGCCCTCCGTCGCCGCCGCCAGGCGCGCGTAGTCGATCTGAAGAAATATATCGTGGGTGTCATGCATTATGTGTAACGAGCCAAATCAAAAAATGCCTTATTCAAATAGACTTACAGGCACTTTTAAATCGTCAATTTTATTTTACCTATGTCTATTAGGAATCTACCACTGGCTTGGAAAACATTTCTGCTGAGACGATTCGGTAAGAAATTCTAGTTGCTCTTATTAAAAATAATATTAGTTCACCGTTATATTACATAACAATAGTTATATGTTCTTATCCTGCGTGAGAGAGACATTAATAGCACAAGTTTACATATGCAAAACTATTACCAAAATATTACTAATACAAAAATATTAAGAGGATGTTAGTCCGAGTAAATGTTAGTAGATGGATGTACTGATTTGTTAGTGATGTTTTAAAAATTCTCTAAGTAGAAAAAAAAAATTGGTGGCAAAGTTTGTACGGAAAACAATATTTTTCGATTGTCACTAGTAAGAATAGAAAATCAGTAATAATTATTTGAATACAAACAATGTTTTATAATTATACAGGACACTTATTACTATCTCGGTATAGGTGGTTTCCTTGTGATACCATGTGCACATAATTGCGTATGTGTGCGCGTACATGTGTGTACGTGTGTGTATATGTATATTAGAGTAGAGCGAAAAAAATTTTTTTTACTTAGCTTGGGGTGGGGGTATAATTTGTAGCTTATATAAAAATAGTAACGTGTTATTTTTTTAACTTTTTTTTAAAATTGCAATAATGCAATATTACAGTGAAAGTTTGGTATATTCGTGACTATATTCTTCAATACTCGAATCGAAAAAAAAAACATTCAACCCAAACATTCAGATTTTAAAAATCAGTGGGCCACCTCAAAATGTTGAGAATTTTTTTTTTACAAAATTGCGTTTTTTTATAAGCTACAAATTCTATACCCAAGCTAAGAAAAAAAAATATTCTTTTCGCTCCGCCCTAATGTAAGATGTGTGTGTGTGTTTGTATACTGACGTCGTCGGCGGTGGGCTCGTGCCGCAGTATGAGGTTCAGGATGCGCTCGCGCTGCGCGTCGCTGGGCATGGGCACGTGGAAGGTGGCGGGCATGCGGCGCTGGATGGCCTTGTCCAGGTCCTGCGGCCTGTTGGTGGCACCTGGGGGACATACAGACATAATTCGATACCTTAATCGACAAACCAGCACACTCCAAATTTTGTCGAAAAAATTTTTTATTCAGATTGTATGCAACAGTGATTCATTAGCATTATTTTTGTAGGATTTTACAGTATCAAAAATAACAGCTTACGATATTACCTATCAACGGTATTTTAGATTTTTTAATAAGTAGTGCACAAACAATATTATAAAGTTTTAAGCGTCTCCTAAAAATTTGCTCATCTGGAGTTATTTGGTTTGCCAATTAAGACATTGATATGCATCAGTGGTGGATTTACAAGAAGCTGAGTAGGCCTAGAACGGCAAATTTAGGGCATACTTTTTTAAGCGTTTCACAGAAATCATAAGGACTTCTGTGTAACAATTCCCAAAATATACCCAGAAACTATTTCTTGTGTAATTCCAACCCAATTATTAGATATTCAAAATAATCTAGGTACTAACAATTATAGAAGCAATGGCGACAAACATTTAACAGCCTATACCTGGAAAATGTTGAAATCCACCACTGACATGCATTAATGTATTCAGCACCTTTTGAAGTGAAACTTCTTTAGAATCGGTGTGATTTGAAACTCGATAAAACGGAAATGCGGTACGAGAAAGAGACAAACACATAAATATATAGGATTAAACCGTCGAGAGAATGAGATAGAATATATTGCCATGTTGCCATGTTAACCGTTGTTATTGTCTAACAAATATATAATATTGTATTCTTTCTTTTATGATATTCTATAAATATATGATTGTAATATGCCTTATTTAATTATTGATTTATTTTAATTTAATTGCATTATTCGTTAAAGAAGTTTTATTCCAACCGCGCGTAAAGTTTACACGCACCAATATTTTTAACGTCCCACTGCTGGGCACGGTCCTCACTTCAATATAAAGAGGATCAGGCCATAGCCCATCACGCTGGTCAAGTGCCGGCGAACTTCACATGTCTTTCGAAAACTTGCTAGATTCTCGGAAACATGCAGGTTTACTCACGTTTTACTTCAATGGAAGACAAGTGGTAATCATGTTCAAAATGATTCGCACATGAAAATATCAAAGATGCGAGACCCGGGATTTGAACCCGCTTTCACTCGGTTTCCAAAGCGAGCGCGTTACAACTGGGCTACCACTCCTTGTTTTATATCATAAACATAAAGACTTTTATAACAAAAAACTTAGTTCAGCTTAGAACATACATAATGCACTTGTATCAAAATGCAGAACATCAATTTCACTCAACCTGAAACAAACAAATATCTTAGAACAACAATTAAACTATTAATTATATGAATTCTTACCCATAATAATGACAGTGCAAGTGGGTTCAGTGATGAGGCCGTCCCACAGTGACATGAACTGCGTCTTCATCATGGCGGTCGCCTCGTGGTCGTGCTGCGTGCGCGTGCGCAGGAACGACTCGATCTCATCTGAAATGTTAGATTTGTAATTATTTACTTTATGAGAAACTAGCGACTCACCCTCGCTTCGCTCGAGTTCGCCTCTGGGAAAACAAAAACAAACCTATCCCACAGGAATCGTTCATTTTTCCGGGATAAAAAGTAGTCTATGTGTTATTCTGATGTATGAGCTATATTATAGTAAAGTTTCATCAAAACCGATCAGTAGTTTTTGCGTGAAAGAGTAACACATATACATCCATACATACATTCTTACAAACTTTCGCGTTTATAATATTAGTAGGATACCATTTCAAAATATTTGATCCATCTTAAAAAAGTTTATAGTGTATATAGTCTACGATATATGTGCGATATAGAAAATTACTTTCAAATGCGTAATAATTGCTGATAATGTTATTTTAAACTCGTTTAACTCCTCGAATAAATAATGGAGTAACAAATTTCCACAACAATTTAACCAATTTACCAATAAAAACAATGCAGGGTTGCAACTTGACCGCCAGACTGAACACGGCCGCGGCCAGCTTCTGCGTCTCGCCGTACCACTTGTCCGTCAACAGGGACACGTCGAGGTTGATGAAACTCATGTTGGCCTCTTTAGCTGTCGCTTTCGCTATTAGGGTTTTGCCACAACCTGAAAAGAAATGTTGAAACATATTTTATAAATTCTTAACGTCATAACGGTTAGTACATAGGTATAGGATCCATATTAATATTATAAATGTGTTTGTTTGTTTGTATGTTTGTTTGTCCTTCTTTCATATCGAAACATAGTGACAGAGTAAAGTGATTTTTTGTGTGAAGCTAGTTGGAGGTCTAGAGAGTGACATAGGCTACTTTTTACCGCGGGAAATTATTTCATTCCCACGGGCAAACACGTTATAATGCAGTTAAAAAAAATATGATTAGAGTTACTTGAAACTTGATATTAATGCTTTTTAATAAAATTAAATAAATACGTGTTTTCGAAATTCATCCTATAAGGGGGTAAAATTGGGGATGAAAGTTTGTATGAAACTAACTTTTTAGAGATTTTTTACAGTTTTAGTGCGAGCGAAGCCGCGGGTTCTGCTAGTTATTAAATAATTTTTGCATATTATTCATTACATGTAAATATTATGAGGTGATAAATTTATAGACAATGGCATAGAAAAAAAATAAGATTTAGGTTCGAGAAAATTCGAGCGACAAGGACATTTTTTTATCGTCATAGCCTAGTACGAATCTGAAAAAGATCTCATAACATAGAAATAGCTGTTTAGATTTCTATTCTATTCGGACCATAGAATGATTTTGTATCTATAACTTGGTTAAGAAATCTTTATACCTGGTGGTCCATGCAGCAGCACACCCTTAGGCGGCTGTGTGAGCCGGCTGTCGGCAAACAGTTCCCGTTTCTGTATGGGCAGGATGACTGTCTCTCTCAATTCTTTGATCAGATAATCTAGACCCGCGATGTCCTTCCAATTTACCTGCAAAGAGTAATATGAAACTTTAATTTTCTTTCACAAATTAACCACTTATTTATGACGACATCTTCCTATATATGACGACATCGTCCTATATATACCTATATGTAACCTGTATGTTGAATTCCGTTATCGTTATGTGGTATTCCGAAAATAAACAGTAGTCGAACTTGTGTAATACGTTTGAGAAAAGCTCTAAACTATTTTACAAAGATATCTATTTATACATATTATGATAAAAATATAACTGATCGCTGAAATAAAATATTTGAAAAATACTATTATTGTGGGTATTTGTTAACGCAATAGAACCCAAAACAATGATTTTTAGATTTTTTGTCTGTTTGTCTGTGCGCGCTAATCTCAGACACGGCTTAACCGATTTGGTTGCGATTTTCACTAATATATTGCAGTAAGCAACTTGTTTTATTTTAATCGGTTCCTAAAAAAATTATGTCAATTTAAACAATCACGAGCGAAACGAAGGCGAGTCGCTAGTGATTAAATAAACTCTAAATGTATATGCTTAATTGGTGGACCACATTTTATTTTTAAGCTTGTCTTAGATTTATCTTTAAAAAGTAAAAACAAATCTTATAATAGAAAGCTTACATGCTCCAAAATTTTTAATTTCCACGCGTGAACTCCACGCGTGTGAAACCGCAGTCAAGGCTAGTTATAAATATTATGTTAAAAGAATTTTTATATAACAGAACTATTGAATAAACTGATAACGTACTAAAAAGTAAAAACAAGCATAAAGTATAGACAATCGAATTTATATAAAGATAAAAACGTAAATGTAACCTATATTTTATTTCAGTTGCTTCGAGATTTCAGTTTGTTCTTACAAATGTACCTATATTTAAAGTTTTCTCGCCGGGTCTTCTCAGCAGAACTAGTACCTTCTGAGTCGGTGGTAGATTCCTCACGGACTTACATATTGATAGTTAATATAAATTTTATAATTTAAAAAGTGACGAAAGATCATTGACGCAATAAAATACACACTTCAATTTATTTATATTATCTGTATAATTAGCAGTAGATAGTCAATTTTTATCATGTGCGCATGTTCGTCTACAGAATTGAAACTAGCTACATATTAGATGTGTGTTACATAAAATTTGGCATGTTACCAATTCCCAAACAAAGTCATTACACTTTAAAAACAAACAAATCAATAAACAGGTATCTTGGAATCGATAATGGCATGTTACTCGCCAAATTATACACATATGATTATTAAAAATGATTATTATTTTCAATTAAAACCAATTAGAAGCTGAGACGTTGCTAATAATACAAGTTCCTGTATGTAATATCATGTTCATGAAGTAGTATCAAAGAAAGAGTCTAATGTACACTAGCAATCATCTCTTTCTCCTAAAGAAATTTTTAATCTAATGAACTTAATTAACTTACTACTTCTAACTTGAGTATATATATTTTTTTTCAAAGTCCTAGTTGTACATGGAAGGCTTTACTATACCTTGTTACAAGTTTGTTGATTAAAAATTGCCTACAGGTTAATACAGATAAAATTATCAATAATTAGAAACAGACTATAATAAAGCAAATAGAATAAGAAATGATGATGATGTGTTATGTTATAATAAGATGTCTATTTTGTATAACTACATATTAATATAATAGAAGGTACTACATTGTATGAGATTTACATGAGAAATTTATGTCCATTTGAAATTATCTGAATATTGAGTGAAAATGTTCTTCTTGTCAGGTGTGAATGTAATCTGATAAGGTTTGTTTAATAGTATTGAATCTGATATTTCTAATGAGCATTACTTTCATCAAGCATATAAGAGCAATTAACAAATTAGTGCTACGAGTTTACAGTTGAGCATTATTTAATAAGAGCACTTTAAAGGTGTTAACTTCTAAAGAAGGTAAAATGGTAATTATGTAACAGTTCCTTTAATAATAAGTTAAAGATAATTATGGCTTCATTGTGTAATTCTTGTGAGAAAAAATAACTTAATCTTTTATTTATTTAGATGTAATATAGTTTAGGACAGATTGTTTTCACAATATATTTAAATATTTAATTTTAGTCTAGTTTAAAAAAAATATATAGTATGACAGTAATTATAAATAATTTAGAACAAGACTCACATTAATCTCTTCAGGTACTACCAGTTGTGATGCAATAATCATTTCATGATCTGTTAGTTTGTCCAACGCCAAGGAATGCTTCCCGCTAAGACCCGCTCTGCAAGATATCCTTAACACATGCAAACTCTATACAGTTGCAGTTAATTAAATATATAAATAAATATAATAAAATATACTATTTATAAAAATGGACATGGAAATACTGTTTTTTGATGAGTACAAGTCAATTGTTAGTGAAATTAATATTTGTTTATTTTGACTATAAACCTACTTACTAATACACTTTGACATTCATAAAGAAGTAAATATTAAAATAAAGATTTTTGTTATCAAATTTTATTACATTTAAATTTTTAAGTTATTATTTAATTCCACATTATGGTGTAAGTATATATTATATAAAGCAATAAAATTAAAATAATATTAAAAATTAAGTACAACGAATCATTTAAATATAATATTAAGCAAAATTTTCAATTCTTATTTGATCTCTATGACAATGTAATGCATTTGGTTGCAAGTCAAAAATCAATACTCACTTGCGTAACTGTTCCCGCGCTCTTTCCTCAGCCTTCTTCCGACTCTTGGATGTTGGGTCTATTTGATTTACCAGCCATTTTATTGAGAAGTAAGTTACTGCAGACACAAAAGCAACCCGTATAGCCATTTGGAACACATCGGTCCTCGTAAATGCCGAACCTTCCACCATCATGCCTTAACTATTTACTAAAGGTTATTAAATGAATAACAAAGTTCAGTTATTCTGAAAATTGGGCTTTTCACTTTTCACTACGAAAATGCGAAATGTATTGGTAAATTTTGCAATAACTTGCATCGAGCACTGTGTGAAATTGTGAATTTCGTATCAGAGACAATGATAAATGATTTGATTATTTTGTGTTGCAACTTGCAATCCTTAAAAAAACTAAAAATAATTCATAAACAGTAAAAATGAACTCCTAAAATTAAGTATGTAAATCATAATGATTTTAAATGCTGATTTTTGCACCAGCACCAGTGGTTCGTTTTTCACCCAGAGAATCACTATTACTTTTATACAGCGGGTGCCACAATTCCACACAACCAAAACAGTAATAATTAAGTTTATTTGTAATTTTCATTTATTTAATTTCTTTGTAAATAAATCCTGTAAGTAGGTGTTTAATTTGTATTGATTACGTAAAGTAATAAACTATGGTAATATTTGTTATGTCGCTTTCTGTCTAACACACATTCGCACTAGCAATACTTTAACATAGATTGCCAGTGTCAATTGTCAATTATCAAAATGTCATTATCATGTGTTAAAAGCACAAACCTAACCTAAATCCTAAACCTATAGTAAAAAATACAATAAAAAGTCCTCGGACGGTGATCTTGTATTAAATTATATTATTTTACATAGCATTTTGAATACAATTTGCCGAACATGAAAAAAAGTAAGACTAATAAACCAAAGTTTGTAAATACCCGTAAAGTTCTTAGAAAAGAAAAAAGGAAACAAAAGAAAATTCATCGGCAAGAGCATTATCTAAAAAAGAAAACAGTTTTAAGCGAGTTGAAAACTACTCCAGAAAAATTTGTGAAAAGGCTACCGGAAATCGAAAAAAAGAACGATTCAAAGGTAAGAATCAGAGATTAATTAATAGTGCCATTGAATATTGTTATGTACATATTTATGAATATTTTAGTAAAATCAGTAATCATATTTTATATTCATTCTTTTTAGAAGAGCAAAGCAAAGCCACAAAAAGAATCTTCTCAAGATGTGCTGATGAGACAAAGACAAAAGGAATTAAAAGAAGCAGAAAAACTTAAATCGCAAATGGATAAACAAAGAAAGCAAATTATGGTTAAAGCTAATGAAGACGAAGACAAAATTATTAAGAAGTTAGAAAAACAATTGGGACTTAACAAATCGAAGAACAAAAATAACTATTTTGCTGATGATGGTCTAGATTGTATCCTTTTATGTTATAAATTATATTATATAAGTATTATAATGGTATGGTATGGTATGGTATAAAACGGGCTTGTTTCCGCAACTCGACGTCTGCGCGCCTATTTTGCGTGTGTGGGAAATTTTCCAAATGTTTATTCTTGCCAGCCCAGTTCCTCCAGGAACTTCAGCAGTCTCTTCGTCCTACCGAAGGCCTCCGGGAGTGTACTAGGGGAGCCAAGATGTTGAGCCCGGTACGCCGCTACACCTGGACACTGTAAGATTACATGTGCAGCCGTTTCATCTGCCCTCATGCAGGCTCTGCAGAGTGGGCTGTCAGTTATACCTAAGTTAAATAGGTGTTTGTTGTAGGGTCCGTGGCCTGTTAGAGCCGCGGTTATCTGTCTGAGCTGAGATCTATTAAGATTAATCAGACGGTTAGTCGTTTTAGTGTTAATGAAAGGAAGCGATGATTTTCGCCTGCCTGCAGTCTGCGACTTCACGCCATATATTTTCGTGTAGTCGTCTTATGCGTTGTCGTATTTGACCTTTGAGCCAGCAAGAAGGTAGCGCCACGATGGGCTCAGGACCTATTGCATTCAGGTCCGATCCTCTTCTTGCTAGCTCGTCGGCCCTATCGTTACCCCACGAGTTACTGTGGCCTTGGACCCATTGTACTGAGACCTTGTTTTGGTCACTTACCTGTGTCAAAGCGTTATGACATTCATAGATCATACCTGAAGTGGTAGAGTTACTATTTAATGCCTGTAGTACTGACATGCTGTCTGATAGTATGCGGATAGAGAAGTCTTTGACGTCTTTATTCGCGATTGTTCTAGCTGCTTCAAGGATACCTAGACATTCGGCTTGAAACACGGTGTTGTAGGTACCTAGGGGTATTGAAGTTTTAATGTTTAGATCGTCAGAGAAGATCCCGCAACCTGTCCCTGATTTAGTTTTTGAGCCATCGGTGTATATTCTAAGGTCCTTGCTGTCACGACCTTCGTATTTGTCTACCTCTAGCTCTATTTTGTATTTTTTGTATGTATTTGATTTGGATCCCGTCATTCGGTGCTCCCATGAGCGGGATGTCTTTGGCTACGTCTATCAGAATTTTTGTATGTGGCGTGCCTGTTTTTCGTAGCAACTTCAGATTATCTAATCTTGTTGCGGTAGTCGCAGCCTCTTGTTGGATGAACAAGTGCAGCGGCAGAAGGCTTAGCATGGCTTCCAGGGCCGCAGTGGGTGTTGTTCTCATGCAGCCCGTTACTGCCATGCACACCAGTCTCTGCCAGCTTTGCAGCTTGCATTGTGCTGTGGTCAGAAGAGTTCTACGCCACCACACCAGGGCACCGTAGCTGATCATAGGTCGTATAACTGCTGTGTAAAGCCATAGAGTTAGTTTTGGTTTAAGGCCCCACTTCTTACCTTACATTCTTCGGCATTGCCAGAAGGTAATGCTGGCCTTGTTTAGTTTGGTTTCTAGGTGTTTGGACCAATTTAGTTTACTGTCTAGAATAATACCTAAGTATTTTACTTCTGTAGTTAGTGACAGGGTCGAGTTAAAGAGTTTTGGAAGGGAGTAGTTCCCTAGCGCTCTTTTGTTTGTGAACATTATTAGTTCCGTTTTGCGCGGATTGACGGTCAGATTGAATTTTTCGCACCACTTTTCAACTATTAACAGGGCCGATTGTGTTAATTTGCAGACCGTGCTTGTGAATTTGCCCGTTACTAAGATGGCTAGGTCATCTGCATAGCCGATTGTATAAAATCTGTTGTCATTAAGCAGGGATATGAGGTCGTTAACTACGAGGTTCCACTAGAGAGGCGACAGTACACCTCCTTGTGGACAGCCTTTAGCAACGATGGCTCCCTGTTTGTTACTATTTCCCAGCCTGACTACTCTATTTACGAGCATGTGTTGAATCCAGTTTGATATTACAGGGTTCACATCATGTCTGTCGAGTGCTGCTCTGATGCTGGTGAAGTTGGTTTTATCGAAGGCTCCTTCAATGTCGATAAAGGTGTCTTTGGTATCTAACGCCTCCTCAATCTTGCATACTACAGCGTGGAGGGCTGATTCCGTTCATTTGCCTGAACTGTAGGCATGTTGGTTCCTATATAGAGGTGTTTTTACTAAGGCGTTGTCTCTTAGGTATCTATCACATAGTCTTTCCATAGTTTTAAGTAGAAATGATGTGAGGCTTATTGGTCTGTAGGATTTAGCATCCGAGTAGTCCGACCTGCCGGTTTTTGGTATGAAGATTACCTTGACCTCTCTCCAGGTCTTGGGTACGTATCCAAGAGCCAGGCAGGCCTGATATACTCTGTTGAGTATATGGAACAGTTTTGGGCCTCCCCATTGTATAAAAGCGGGGTAAATGCCGTCTAGGCCTGGTGCCTTGAAGGGCTGAAAGCTTTTAATGGCCCATGCTATTTTCTTTGGACTTATGACCTCCGTTGCGAATTGCATGGAAGTGTCTGTTAAGGTATGGTTGACATCTAACCATTTGGTTTCGTTAATCATTGAGCAGTCGGGGAAGTGCGTCTGCAGAAGTACTTGGTGTGCTTCTTCCAATGATTTGGTATATGTGTTGTCCGGTTTCCTTAAGGAACCCAGTTCCCGCTGTGGTTGACCGGTAAGAATTTTACGAATTCTGTTAGCTTGTATAAACGATTCTATGGACTCACAGTATTTTCGCCAAGTACGATTCCTCCAATATCTTATTCGTTTTTTGTACTTGGCTTTAACATTTTTATAGTGGTCCCAATATAGATCGTTGTATGTATTCATAGCTCTATTGAGGGCTTTTCTGACCTTGGTTCTAAGGCGTTTTAACTCTGGGCCCCACCAGGATCCTCTGTCAAGTGGATTCTCCGGAGGATAGGTTAGTGGGCAAGTTGCTTCGTAACATGTAGTCATTAACTGCGTTACTTTAGTGACCAGTTGTTCGATACTATCCGTGTCTGTTAGCCTGTCAGGGTAGTCAAGTGCCCGCAGGCCGTCGACTAGTAGTTTACGAAATTCATCTTTGTTTGTCTTTCGTACGTTCCTAAAGGGTTGAGGGGGTGTAGTGGATAAACCTAGTTCAAAACGTATCCATCTGTGGTCTGAGCAAGAGGCTTCATCAGACACATGCCATGTATTATAATTATTACTACATAAATATTTGGATAATTTAAAGTCATTCTTTTTAAAAATTAGGCTATCTTGTGGAGGGTCTCATTGGCGTCGGAGCAACTTCATGGTTGCCCTAGTCTGTCTCGATAGGCCAATCATTGGGTGTTGGGTATTAGATTTTAGTGGGTAATGGCTGTTTTAGCCGGCCGGTAACTCTCACATTATCACCTCTATGTCTGCAGATGTAAATGCATTTCCCGACATTAATTATATGTAATATTTTAATTTTATGAGCTTAGTCCCACTGCCTCAAGTAACTAAATTCTAATCCCAAAAGGAGCAAATTGTGATTACAAAATATTTTAACTAAGTCCACTTGCATGAAACAGCCAAAGTTTTTCACATCTTACAAATATGATAGGATTTTCTTAAATGATTATTAGATTTACTGGAAATATGTGATAGAGCTACATCAGAGCAAATTGTAGCTGCAGAAAAACATTTAGCTGATGTAGAAAAGGACTCTGATTTTGAAGAGGATTTAGCTGCTGTCACTGGAAAGGAAATGCCTAAAAAGAAAGTAAAAGATAAAAAGAGTAATGGTATCGATGAAGGTGAAAATTCTGACAATGATATGGAAACTGATGATGAACCAAATTCAGGTGATGATGAGTCAAAGACAGATGGTGATGATGAAGCAATGACAGGTGATGAAAGTGAAGGTTCAAATGATTTTGAAGATGAAAATCTAAGTGATAGTGAAAACAATCAAAGTGATGGCAGTGAATTAATCCAAGAAGAGCAAATACCAATATTGACATCTAAATCACAGACTAAATCAAAAAAGGAAAAAATTGTATCAGAAAGTGAGTTAAGCAAGGTGTTCAGTGATGATGAAATATCACATTTATCAGGTGATGAAGATATAAGTGGCTTTAGTGATGATGAAGAAAAGAAAGAACATAAAACAGAAAGTAAAGAAAAGCCTGATGTTTGGGAAGATATTTATGGTAGAAAAAGAGACAAAGAAGGGAATATTATAAAGGTATAATTTTTTTTTCATTTTTATCTTATTATTAGAGACTTGCCCTCGCCTCGGTTCGGTGGTTTAGGCGTGAAAACGTAACGGACACAGACAAAGCCACTTTTGCATTTATAATATTAGCATGGATTGTTTTTATTTATTGTTAGCTGTATTAGCTGGGGATGTGGAAAGTGGATGCAAAGAAATACAAATTTACTTACATTAATTTATTAACTAGAAATTTTTACTAATTAAATTACTACTGAGTATTGACTAATTGACTACTGATCGATGTTAGATCAAGTAAGCAAGCAAGTAATGCCTTTTTATACTGTTGAAAGTGTTCTCTATTAAGATACAGTCTTGACATCAGTTAATAATAATAATAATATTTATTGAACAATAAAACACATAAAACACTAAACAATATTAATACAAAAACAAACATACATATATTATTATATAGAATAATCTAAGTTTTTAAAGCTCAAATTAAATTAGGCTGTATCGATACAAAGAATATGGTAGCCTCTGTTGCCCTACTAGGCCTGTATTACGGCATACAGCGCCTTTCCCCTAAATATCTGTTTAATTTAGGTAGCTGCTGCGCTTGCACCTGCGCTTGTCTGGTATATTACAAGTTGTTTTAAAAGAAAAGCTCATTTTTAATTTAAATTATCTGTGTAACGTGTGAGGTGCCTAAACTAAATATGTATGTTTTTGCTAAAATATGTTACAAAAATGAAGTGTATTGAGAATTGTATTTTTTTAAATAACAAAAATTTAACACAAATTTTACACAATATTCATAAACTACAATAAGGACACGGTCAGAGGTTACTGGTTCTTTTTAATTTTTTTTTGTTAATTATAGATTTGGCAGGATCTCTTTTTTTTTTATAAAAAAAATATTTTGTGTTATAGGAAGAGAAGGGTGTTTACATACCACCACATTTGAGAAATAAGGATTCAGCATCAGATAAAGAACTTGCTCAAATAAAAAGGCAAATTAAAAGTAAGTGTGTTTTTAATTTTTATCTCAAGAATAATAAGAGTGGGCAAACTGTACTAATATATAAAGCTAAAATTTTTGTTTGTTTGTTTGAACAAACAAACATTCTTTTTGCATTTTACGGCCTATTCATTGAAGAAGATTTGCATATAGGCTTAATCTAACATCATACTATGTCCCATAGGAATTGACGAGTTTTGGGCAAGGACTTGTACTGATATACTATAAGAATGATGGTGTCTTTAACATTAATGGATTCATTTCATTTCCTCATTCAATTATCATTATATAGTTATTATTTTGATTTTTTATTCTTAACGTTTTGAATGCTTTAGAGGCAAACATGATCAAGTTCGACACTATGGCTTTTGACATCTCAAAAACCATAGTATTTACAGATATTCAACCAAAATTACACAATCATTTGTAAGAAAGAGAATAAAAATTTCTAAAACAATAATTTGGAAGCTTTTTTTTTAAATTTACAGGTGTGCTTAACAAACTAGCCGGAACAAATCTCCACTGGGCTTCCACATCGATAGAGAACTTGTATTCAAGCAACAGTAGGAATTCAGTTAACACTGCCCTAACTCAGTTATGGTTAGAGGCAGCAGTCAGTGAAGCCATCACTCCGCAGAGGATGTTAGTTGAACATGCGGCCTTGATATCTATCCTGCATGCTAATGTTGGATCTGAAATAGGTTAGTCATAGTTATATATATGGATCTTTTTACCCGAGTGCGGCGAAAGTCAAAGGAGGGTTATGTGTTTAACTTGTATGTATAATCCTATGTGTTCTCGTAATCACTGATATATATATTTATGTATAGATGTATGTCCGATCCTATGTTCCCTCGTAACCGAATGACTTAACCGATTTTTAGGAACATAACTTTATGCAGTTAGAGACCTCATACATACACGTGTCAACACTTGCAACTAGTATAATACACGAATGTCTGCATAATGCTATGTTGTTAATTTATATAAATGTCAACAGGTGCCCATTTCTTAGAGGAATTGTCTAAAAAATTCGACGACATGATGCAAACTCCGCAACCCGTGGAAAATAAAACATTGGACAATCTCGTGTCTTGTCTGGCACTTTTGTACAGTTTTAAGGTACTTTTTTACTTGTAACCTTAACAATTCTACTTCTGGACTAGTGAAAATTTTGTTATCAACTCCAAATAGGTATAAATATCGATAAACTATAAGATAAATGATTTAACATTTATGGAAATAAAACAAGCGACTTCCAGAATGTTTGGTAATCATAGTTTTATACAACTCAAAGTATATCCATATTGAAAATCTTAAATGATGATATTTCGGAAATAAAGTATCATTTGAATGACTACATACTAATGCTAACTAACCTACCAAAGGTTAAATAATGTTAATCTATACATAAAATAAAATTCTAATTGAGTCGAATCTGTACATTAAATATTTTTTTGAAAATCTTATTGAAGTAGTCATAATATCGATACAGAGGCCAAATCTATAGATTTTAGAATTTTTCTCTGTCTGTCTTTCTGTAACCGCATCACGAGAAAACCACTAAACAGATTTTGATGAAATTTGCTATGATGATATCTGGTTATCCGGGTCAACATATAGGATACTTTTTACTGCAGAAAAATATCTCATATCTGAGAAAATCTATACTATACCTTAAAACGTAACTAGGGACGAACCCTAGCGGAGCGAGGGTGAGTTGCTAGTACCTGTATATAAACACATTAGTTCTAAAGATTTCTCTCATCATTTATTTTTGGAAAAAACACACTTGAATTCGCCCAAAAAGCATAGACCATTTTCATGCTACATTAATATATAATAACGAAATAATTTTTTCCAGATATACCACGTATCTCTCCTGTACGATATTTTAAATCGTTTAGTGGAAGAGCTGTCGGAGAAGAACATAGACTGTGTTTTGGCGATTTTGAGGAATGTAGGGGGAGTGTTGAGGAAGGAAGAACCGGCGGCTCTGAAGACATTCATCCATGACACTCAGGCGAAGATTTCCAAGTTAAATGAAGATGCGGATAGTGGGTGAGACTTATATATATCTATACTAATATTATAAAGAGGTAAAGTTTGTGAGCTTGTGAATTGTGTTTGTGACGTTGTAAAGGGGTTAAATCACTAGCAATAAATAAATTCAATTTTGTTTTATTTTCACAGATCACGTATAAAATTCCTTCTGGAAGTGTTGCTAGCTGTTAAAAATAATAATTTAAATAAAATTCCCAATTATGATCCAAGTTATGTGGAACATTTGAAGAAAATGTTCCGCGGCATCGTGCGGCGCGGCAACTACGTCACTCCCTTGAACATTAGGCTAGAAGATCTATTGAAAGGTATGTATTCAGTCCTTTTTAACGTCTCACTGCAGGGCTCAGGCCACAATTCAATACGAGATCGATCAGTCCATAGCCCACCACGCTGGCGAAGTACGGGCGGACTTCACATGCCTTTCGAATACTTGCTAAATTCTCTCAGACATGCAGGTTTCTTCACAATGTTTTCCTTCACCGTAATACAAGTGGTAATCGTGTTGGAAAATGATTCGCACACAAAAATATCAGAAGTGCGAGATTAGGGATTTGAACCCGCTTCACTCGGTATCCCAAGCCAACGCGTTACCACTGGGCTACCACTGCTATTGTGATGTATATACAAAAAAATGGAAAACATTATTTAAAATTATTAATTCGACTATCGATATGTAGATGTACAAATACACTTGCTTGTCGAAAAATCTACTAGTAGTTTAAAAATATATTTTCATTCCCGAAAACAACAATAGATCCTAATTTTTATATTAAACTAATATAAATATGTTTTATATTAAATATATAATATCGAAACTTACCGTTGCTTCGCTCGGATTCGTCTCTAGCAGTTTAACGGTATCAGTCTATTTGTATAAAATACATTCAAATCCGGATGTTTTAGCGTAAGGGAGTAAAACACGTTTGTGCATGCTAAACTTTCGTATTTATATAATAGTAATAATTTGATTACACAAAGATAAGATGACAGCCCGTTTTAGGTTACCATAGTTTCAAAAATGTTCAATTTATGACTCTTACAAAAATATTTGAATATTAAAAAAAACATTAATATCCCTTACGTAATTAATTAAAACAAAAATACAGTTGCTCAGTTTGTAGTGACTCTACTTGCCGTGCCAGCGATCGGTGGTTCGAGTCCCGCTGGGGGCATTCATTTGTGTGATAAGCACGAATGTTTGTGTTCCAATCATGAGTGTTTATATTTATAATATGTATGTATATCTATACATATAATAAAATTCTAACAGAGGCGAATCTGTACATTAAATATTTTTTGGAAAATCTAATTGAAATAGACATTATTATCGATACAGAGTCCGAATCTATAGGTTTTAGAATTTTTGTCTGTCTGTCTGTTTACACTGGACAGATTTTGACGAAATTTGGTATGATGGTAGCTGGTTATCCGGGTCAGATACTTTTTACCGCGGGAAAATATCTCATTTCTGACAAAAAATACAAAAACTGCAATGTAAGAGTATACTAATATGTAAAACTGTAACTGACAAACACAAAAAAAGAATTATTCAATTTGGTGCATTCGATCGGAAGTTATGCGTGTATACGTATATACATATATGCATACATTTCGGTGATTCACTTTTATTAGGGTTCCGTACCCAAAGGGTAAAACGAGACCCTATTACTAAGACCCCGCTGTCCGTCCGTCCGTCACCAGGCTGTATCTCATGAACCGTGATAGTTAGACAGTTGAAATTTTCACAGATGATGTATTTCTGTTGTCGCTATAACAACAAATACTAAAAAACAGAATAAATTATATATTTAATAGAGCTCCCATACAACAGACAAGATTATTTTGCCGTTTTTATAGATAATGGTGTTGAACCTTTTGTGCGCGAGTCCGACTCGCACTTAGCCGGTTTTTATATAGATTTGTATGGTCGCAGCGCAGGAGCGCGGCAAGTGGTGGGTGGTCGGGTCGGCGTGGGAGGGTGCGGGGAGCGCAGGGGGCCCGCCCGCCGCCGCCGCCGCGCCCAGCGTGGACCAGAAGCTTCTGGAACTGGCCAAGAAACAGCGCATGAACACCGACGTCAGGAGGAGCATCTTCTGCATTATCATGTCGGCTGAGGTGAGGGTTGTTTAATATTTTTATTATTAAGTAAGACAGAGAAAAAGAAACTGACTGTGTGCTGTGTACTTATGTACAAACGTAAGAAGTTATACTTCTTTGGCGTAACAGAACAATAATAGCTAAAGATTTCATGCCTGATGATGCAGCTAACTTCATCATGTCGCTTTCAGCTAACATTATCATGTCGCTTTTTGACTGTCAGTGTGCGCGCACATCGTAAAAATCTTACTCTCATCATATTTTCCAAACATGCCATAAGAAGTATAACTTCAAAAATGGCTTAGTTCCTATTTTATTCGAATAACAAGTAGCAAAATAAAAAAGAATATTTTATTCTTGATTTCATTTTTTATTATCAAAATGCTTTTGCTAAAATAGATAAAAGGTGTAATGTGCGCTATGTTATTCATGTTATTTAATTTTTCCCCGTTGTAATCTATTTATATATCGTTAGTCTCGCTAAAGCTCAAAAACGGCCGTATCGATTTGAAAAATTCTTTTTTTGTTTTGTTGGGGGTGGGTCAGGGGTGGTTCAACAATAAAAAAATAGGGGAAAACCCAAAAATTAACAGCTGAAAAATCGAAAAGTTCAGAACTTTATTTTGTACCTATGTATATAATATAATATAGATTATCTATTCCATACCAACCGTCAAAACGTAGCTAGAGATGAAGAGAGTCGCTAGTAGTTAATAATTATGAATGAGTGATGTTGAATTTAGTTTTTTTTTGGTGTTAAGTAGCTATTATATTAATCTACAATTAAAATGATATTTCCTCATAATTCTTTCTAGGATTTTATGGATGCATTCGAAAAACTCCAACACTTAGGTCTCAAAGGGCAACAGGAAAGGGAAATAGTGCACGTGCTGTTAGCTTGTTGCCTGAACGAAAAAGCTTACAATCCATACTATGCAGTTTTAGGACAAAAGTTATGCGATGTCGACAGAAAGTATCAGGTTTGTGATTCATTTATTACATTTTTAGGGTATTTCAAGTGAAATAATGAATAAAAAGAACTAACGGATTTTTTTATAAAAAAGAAAAAAACTAATAGTATGATATTCTTTCAAGGGGATCTCTTCCTCTAATGTTTTTTGTATTTTTAAAACATTAGAATAAAATATTATTTTTGTTATTTATTATATATTCATATATTTTGATTAAAATTGTAAATTTACCCATAAAAATTGTCTTATTTATATAAGTAAAAAAAACGCCCTGTATGGCAAAATTGAGAATAGTAGCATAAACAGTAAATGACGCTACTATTTATGACTTCGGCAGTTTTTTTGGCGGGTTCCTGCTTTATAATTTTTTAGTCTGAATAAAAAAATATAGCACACCGTAACACATATACTTAATATTATAGCTTTCAATACAATATTCTGTGTGGGACAAAATTAAGGATCTCGAATCTCTGTCGAAGCAAGCGATGACGAACTTAGCTCAGTTTCTCATACATCTGATTATGGAGAAGGGATTGCCGCTGTCCGTGTTAAAGGTAATGAGTTTTAATATATAATTTACTTTATGAAACGTAATTAATTAAAGGTTTTTTTTTCAAAAAGTATACTAATACTTTTTGTTTCTAATGACGTGACTTAAAAAAATAGTACTTAAAAAGTATAAAATCGAGCATAGTCTATTTTGAATTTCACTGAACTTGAAGAGGTAACAAACTCTTGCATTTTTTATATAAGTGTGATACAATTTGGCAGTCTGGCTAGCCTAGTGTTTTCTTTATATAAAACTAGCGACTCACCCTCGCTTCGCTCGGGTTCATCCCTAGGTTGCTTTCCCATACACACTTTCATCCCCATTATCACTCTCTTAAGGGATGATTTCCGGGATAAAAATTAGGGTATCCTATGTCCTCCCCAGGGTCTCAAATTATCTTCTTACCAAATTTCATCTCAATCGCTTCAGTAGTCTCGGAGCTTATTCGCTGCAAACAAACAGACAAAAAATCTTTCCTCTTTATAATATTAGTATAGATAATAAAGTCCTAGATTCAAGACCCGACAACATGAGAACAAGTTGACTAAGGAACAGTAAGTAGTTTCTTTCGCCAGTTCTTCTCTGGTCTGAGTCTTCTGCTTTCAGAACTGGTGGTAGACTCATAACGTTCAGTAAACAATTTTAATAATTAATGCTGAATAAAATATTTTGAATTTGAATTTTCATGTTTCTCATTTTAGTTAGCTTTTTCCGCACTCGGATTTTCTTTATTATTATTTTTATAAATTAATTTTTTAAACGTATATATATATATTATCGATTTTAATTTAATAAGTATGTAAATGACATAAATCCGGATGACAATAAGATATTTTGATATTATCGAGCCAATCTGGATGATGGAGTCCTGACTTCTCCAAGAGTTGTTCTATTTATATCCTGATATAGGTAGAAAATCTTTACCCATTATCCTACTAATATTATAAATGCGAAAGTTTGTGAGAATGTATGGATGTATTAGATGTATGTATGTTTATTACTCTTTCACGCAAAAACTACTGAATGGATTTTAATGAAACTTTACAATACATTTACATTACAATACATTATTTAGCTCATACATTAGATTAACACATAGAATACTTTTTATCCTGGAAAAATGCACTGACAGATTTGTTATAGTTTATCTAAAAAAACTTAGTTAACCTATTTTTAAAGTAATTAGTATAAAATGTATGATAATTTTATATAAGAAATAATTATTAATATAAGTAATTTATATATAAAACATTGGAGTTTGAGCTCCTTTGATTCATTTTAACGAGTACAATTCGTTGGAGGTTTTTATTATTATATTTTTTACAAAAAAATTGATCAATATTTTCTTTTTTACAGATTATCCAGTTTTCAGATTTAAACAAAAAGACAGTGAAATTTATGAGACAAATATTATTAGCGATAATTATGAACGCCGACTTACAAATTTCGCTAGAAGTATTCCATAGGATATCAAAACCGCCTAAACTACACATGTTTAGAGAAAGTCTTAGGTTGTTTATACAACATTTTTTAATTAAAAATGCCGGTAAAAAGACATCAGTTCTTAGTGAAGAGGAGATGGCAACACTGAAGGAAAGAGCCATAGAAGTAGATAAAATATTGACCATGTACGAAAATAAGTTACGGTTTTAATTATAGTTTGCGCTAAGTTTATTGAAATGGTTTTAATTTTTTAATATATACATATACACACACACACATATATATATATAACCTAAGTATTTAAGTATTACAAATGTTTTCATTACAGCCCACATACATATCTAGGCATATGTATCGATTTTCGACAAATAAAAAACTTGTGCAAGGTTAGCAGATAGTTAGTACGATTAAACGATATTAATATTAACTTTTTATCGGTTATTCCCACGCGCCATTCATTTAATTAATTATTCGCTATATTTAAAAATGTTCGCTTAGTTTATTATGTGTAGCTATTTTTATCCCGATTGTGATACCTAGCACTTATTTATGCCAAGTAAAATCAATGATAACAGTTTGCACGCTCGCTTGGAAAACAAAGTGAAGCGGGTTCAAATCCCAAATTCTTATCCTACATCTTACGGGATTACCACTTGTTTTACGGCCAAAGAACATATCTTGAGGAAACCTGCATGAGAAGCCAACCAGTTTTCGAAATACATGGCCAACGGCAGCGTGATAGATTAGTATTTGATAATATAAATAGAGTATTTAGTGTATGGGATAAGTAAATACCAACGCCATTAAAATATTATGTACACAAGTTTAGTAAAAAAAAAAATATAAAAAATTCTTTGTCAGACATAACTAGCTTCTATGTATGTTTTTTTTCGAATCGGGTATAACATGCCGACATACGAGTATAAAAACTCTGTGAGTGTTTCGCCACAAGAGTACCCTGATACCTTTCGTTTTAAGAGGAAGCTCGTTTTAACTTCTCACTACCGCGCACGAATACTCATAACAAGTTTTGACAATGAGTATGTGTTCATTTTTATAAATATTTATATATGTATATTTAACCTTGTGAGAATTTCATAAATTACAACTCTTTGACGTGAAACTGAAGTCCCTTAAAGTAATTATTATGTTTGACTGATTTCTATTTTGACTACAAACAATTTTCATCAAGTTGTGTTAATTTTTTTTACTAACACCTCTCAAATTAAAACAAATGTCCAAATTGTTCTGTACAATAAGGCCTTTATGGACTATGAACTTTTCTGTAGATATACCTATATAGCGACGACACGTTTGGCTTGGTTTATAGCACAGACATTACAACCAATGTCTTATATTGTCTGTGGTTTGTAGTGACCCTACTTGCAGTGCCAGCGGTTGCGGGTTCGAGTCCCGCTGGGGGCATTCATTTGACGAACATGAATGTTTGTACTCCAGTCATGGGTGTTTATATTTATAATATATGTCATGAGTGTATTTAAAGTTATATATGTGTAGTGTATCAACTATCTGGTATCCATAACACAAGCTTCGCAGCTTACCATGGAACTAGATGGTGCTTTGTGTTAATGTCCCAACGTATTTATACAAGAATATTACTTTATTCTATAGATTTTTAACGATCGATAAAAGTAGGTAAAAAGAATTATTATAATGGACCAATTAAGCTATAATTGTGAAAAAAATTAATGAACAGAAACAAATCGTAAATATTAAAAACCTAAATGTATCAAACAGGCGTAAACATGAAAATTATTAATAATTTTATGCAAATACACGATCATAGACACCCTCGACCAGCTATCTTATCTAACGTCTGCTGGACTCCTTATCTTTTATCGTGACGGTACAAATCAGTTAGCATAGCAACGACAGTGTGTCTGCCTAGTACCTTTATTCATCGAATATTATATACCAACTTATTTTCCCACGACTACGGAGGTACAAAAAAGATTACTTACTTAATTATATAACCTTATTATACATATATATAATAATACTAGCATTGCCCGCGGCTCCGCACGCGTTCAGATGACCAAAAACCAAATTCTTAAGTTTTACATATACTCTTAGATTGCAGTTTTTCTATTTCTTGAAATAGAAATGAGATATTTTCCCGCAGTAAAAAGTATCCTATATGTTGACCCGGATAACCAGCTACCATCATAACAAATTTCATCAAAATCTCTCCAGTGGTTTTTCCGTGATGCGGTAACAGACAGACAGACAAAAATTCGAAAAACTACAGATTCGGCCTCTGTATCGATAATAATGTCTATTGCAATAAGGTTTTCCAAAAAATATTTAATGTACAGATTCGGCTCAGTTAGAATTTTATTATATGTATAGATTCCTTTCTTATAATACTTATTCATTTATATGCTATCTACTGCTTTCTGGAATTTTTAAACTATGTATCTCCTCTTTTTCTTTTACTCGTTTTAATATCAAAGTTTTAATACGGATTTTAATTTACTTATATTATATCTATACATATAATAAAATTCTGAGTCGAATCTGTACATTGAATATTGTTTGGAAAATCTTTAGAAATAATTATTATTATCGATACACAGGTCGAATCTAAAGTTATTAGAATTATTGTCTGTCTATCTGTCTGGTAGCGCATCACGAGAAAACCACTGGATATTTAGATTTTGATGAAATTTTCCATAATGATAGCTTGTTATCCGGGTCACCATATATGTTATTATAACCAGCTATCATTATACCGTTGGATACTTTTTACTGCGGAAAAATATCTCATCTCTGAGAAATGTAAACTAACCGTTTTAAAAACATAGGGACGCACCCGAGTGCGAGCCGATACAAAGCAAAGCATACCGACTTCGAAAATATTTGATTAGGTATGTATAGTAAGTGAAAACTACCAAATAAGTTATTTTTTACTTTTTAGTGCTTTTTTTGTTTAAGAGGTTTTTACATATTAAGAAAATATGTAAAACTTAATGATATTAAAGGAAAAAAAATAAATAAAAGCAATCATTAAATAAACATTTTACAACTATTAATGCGTTACAAAGCAGCACTAAATCGAGTACCCTTCAATCCTTATCACATCATCACGACCCTTCTATTACTTCCTTCCACTTCGCAAATGTTACGCCCGCAGAAATTAAAAGCCATGTGATAGCCATCAAATCTGATGCTATTGGTAGTGATAATATAAGTAGAAAAATGATATTATTAAGTCTTAACACTGTTCTTCCTATACTGTGTCATATCTTTAATCATTCCCTTACCTCCAATGAATTCCCTGACGTCTGGCAACTTGCAATAGTGATCCCTATACCAAAAACATCCAATCCTACATCATTTTCACAGTACCGACCAATTTCCATACTTCCTTTCTTATCTAAAGTCCTTGAACGCATAGTCCATCAGCAACTATATCTACACTTAAATAATAATAACATCTTATCTCCTTTCTAGTCCGGCTTTCGACCTGGGCACAGCATTGTGACTGCACTTAATAAGGTCTGTGATAATACTTTCTTAGATTTACGCGAATATTTGACATTATTAAATAAAACTATCTTTTCGGATTATTTCGCGGATTTATTTTGATTTTTGGTTCCCGACGTTTCGAATGCTTTACAGCATCCATGGTCACGGGAGAGACTGAGGTGTTACATGTCTTAAAGATATAGTTGTTACAGACAGCCTACCCACAATTAACAAAATGAAAATTGCACCAATTACATTACAATATTTTTTAGCTTTAAACATTTTTATAATACTACTATATATATACTACTACATGTAGTAAGTTCATACTGTGTAGATCAAAATGACAGCTTATCAGATTAATATTTTTCTATTTTCATTTGTAAAAGTATATATTAATAGTGTTGCTTAGTAAGTTGTTTTTAAATAATAGCAAACTAAATTAAAATTATTATCCTTAATTAATTTTAACTTTTTAAATTACACATATAACAATTATATGGCTTAAATAATTAATACTATATTTTATATTTTTCTTAATGGTTATAATTATAACAATGGCAACACTAAATATAGATTACTAATTAATATTTTAAAATTGTAATAATTATAAAAATAATAGCAAAAATTAAATAAATAATTTTCCATATTCAATTATAATTAAAATTATAAAAATGTTTAAAGCTAAAACATATTGTAATGTAATTGGTGCAATTTTCATTTTGTTAATTGTGGGTAGGCTGTCTGTAACAACTATACATTCAAGACATGTAACACCTCAGTCTCTCCCGTGACCATGGATGCTGTAAAGCATTCGAAATGTCGGGAACCAAAAATCAAAATAAATCCGCGAAATAATCCGAAAAGATAGTTTTATTTAATAAGGTCTGTGATGATATTCGACGTGGATTTGACAATCAGCAGATTACCATCCTGGCCCTGTTAGATTTCTCTAATGCATTTAACACAGTAGATTTTGACATCCTACTTGCCATTCTCAAGTCCATAAATATTTCCTCACGCGCTACTGAATGGTTTTACTCCTACCTAAATAACCGCCAACAATACATTAGACTAGATGGCAAGCGGACTTCTTGCTCTCGTATTAATGCTGGAGTCCCTCAGGGCGGAGTTCTTTCTCCTCTACTCTTCTCCATTTTCATTAACACTCTCACTAAGCACCTCACTACGTCCTATCATATTTATGCAGATGACTTGCAAATTTATGCGACTACAAATGTAAATGACATTGCTAAGGCTATTGGAAATATTAATTTCAACCTCGAAATTATTAGTACCTGGTGTAAGTCATTTGGTTTGTGTGTTAATCCGAGCAAGTCTCAAGTAGCAGTCTTTGGCAATTCTAAACGACTTTCTAAAATACATTTTCCTCTCCTCCCTCCCATTTCATTTAATAATGTCCATTTAGAATACAGCAGTAGCGTTAAAAATCTAGGGATCATAATGGACAGCACTTTCTCCTGGACACCTCAAGTTGCCCAACTTAGCCGTAGGATATTTCTTGCTATTGGCACCTTGAGAAGGTGGAAAAACCTATTGCCGGTCAAAACCAAAATATTATTAGCCAACTCCCTTTTATTGCCGATACTCGACTATGCTGACTCCTGCTACCTAGATTTATCTCAGCAATTACTCAATAAGCTTGAGCGTCTCCAGAATCTTATTATAAGATATATTTTTGGACTTAGGAAGTATGACCACATTACGCAATATCGGACACAGTTGAGATGGCTAACAGTTCACAATAGACGTAATTTACACGCGCTTTCTCTATTATACACAACCCTTTACCATCCTCACACTCCCACCTACCTCAAAGAACACTTTAAGTTCCTAGGGGCAAGTTCCCAGCTCGCTCTAGAGCTTCGCTCTCGCAGTAAAAGATTACTAGAAATCCCATTAGTCCATTCCAAATCCTATAGTGAATCTTTCACTATTAAGACGGTGAAGCTCTGGAACGAGCTTCCAAATGAAATAAGACAGTCCAAGTCAATAAGCATTTTTAAAAAGCGTCTCAAAACACATTATTTGTCGCTTTACAACTAAGCTGTCATTATAGTTGCATGTATTATATTATTGTGTATATTATGTATGTTTATTATTATTTTATTATATTATTATGTATATGTATGTTTAAGTATTTAAACAATAAATATCTATTGTATAAATAGTATTTTATATATGTATTTTTTTATGTATATTTATAAAATGTAATACGTCTATTGAGTACACTTTATGCACCTTTCCGCTTTCTGTTAACTTTTGTGTTCTACTTCTAGCGATTGCCTGTAAGAGATCACTTTTAGTGATAAGGCCGCCTTTGCACATTTCTTTAAATGTATTTTTTTTTGTATGTATCATTTTTATTTTTGTGTGCAATAAAGTGTTTAAATAAAAAATAAATAAAAGCAAGGAACATTTGATAGATTCAATTTTATTTGTAGTACTATCTACTGTTATTCTTAAAAGAAAATATGCTACAACATAATTTTCTAATAGACGAAGATTATAAGTACCGCTATGTAAATTTCTAATTGATTTAATTGTTTACGCAGGAGGTGTGAAGGAGACCAGCCGACTGTGAAATGTTATTTCCATAATGTTATAATGTGTTTGATTTCTATCAATCTGAGGTTGTTGCCTCATAATATCTACATACAAGCATCCCGCCCTTACCTTGTCCACTTTGCTTAAATTCATCCGTAATTTTATACAAATATTCGTAGATTTTATCTGCCAATTGCCAAAGTGGCAAGATAATCGGTTTAACTGCTTTCAAAAATAATTATTTAAACTGGATTAAAAATTATAGTGAACCAAAATTTAACTTAATTACGAAGTTTTAATCAAATTAAAACACCTTGGAGAAGAGCTTTATATTATAATTAAGATTGAGGACGTCTTTAAAGTATATAAAATGGAAGTTATTAAGAAAAAAAGAAATTTCTTATAGAATTATGAAGAGACACTTTTTTTTCTTCAGAATATATGTAATAACAGCCACATAGAAACCAATAAATATTTATTGCGTTCTATGTGGCTTTTATTGGTTTCTATGTGGCTTTTATTGGTGTCTATGTGGCTTCTGTCGCTTTTGATGAGATCCTATTGGAGTTTTTAAATACAAGGATTTTTGAATAGGAAGGACCGTGTGTGTTTTGTTTTATACAGCGATAGTTTGTGAGATTAATGAATATGAGTGGTGTATTTCCTAGAAACTAGGATAATCTAGATACAAGTCTTGTCTAGAAACTTAAATACCTTATATTAAAAACAACGACAATGGGTTAAATATAAATACTAAACATGTTCATTGATATGTCCTTATTTCACGTAGCAACAGATCGAATGGTTTCTTGCATACGGATAGTTTATGGGCCAGAGAGTAGCAAAGGTTAATACTGTAAATAATTAATAACACGCGAGGTGTATAGAAAATCACCATATTAAGTATAATAAACAAACCACTAGATATTTAATAGTGTTTTATATGAATAGTGCTGGCATAGATCAATATGGATAGCAACGTATCTGCGTCATAGCAACACCTATGAAGTGCGCGTGCGCATCGTTTTTTTAAATTATTTTATTATTCCTACATCGTTTCGTCTTTGTTATCTTTGAGATTATCTAACAGCAATAACTAACACTTGTGTAGTAGTTGTTACGGAACAATGATCTTGGGAAGATAAAAAAAAATGTTAAAAATTGTGTTGATAATTTATTACAGAATTTATTCATTAATATAGAAATCAAGGTATCTATGAATGTAAATTAATTGTGATGAAATCATAGTTATAGGTCTTGACTGTCGTTTTGTTTCATTTTGTAAATTGTACGTACCTACTTATCATTTGAAATTGCCTTGAGGATTTTAAATATATGGAGATGATTATTTAATGTTCTATGTCCTTTTGGTGACTATCATCAGAGCGAGTTAAGCGTATGTAGTATATTATCAATAAAATCATAATTTCATTATTTTATCTTCATAAAGATCTGCTATCTAAATATCTAAGTAGGTACTAGCGGCTCACCCTCGCTTCGCTCGGGTTCGCCTCTAGGTGAACAAAAACAAACCTATCCCACGAGAACCGTACTTTTTTCCGGGATAGCAAGTGTTATTCCAGACTATAATATATCTGTGTGCCAAATTCATCCAGATCGATTTCATCCGAATCGATTCGTAGCTAATAAACTTATAATACATATTAGTATAGATACGGATTATATCTAAGTATTATAATAAAGACCTACAAATAATATTTAGTACTACTCATTTTTACAAGCTTTTATTTAACTGATTGTTCGGGTCAAATCGTGCAACTGAATTTTAAAGCAGTTATCCAGTATTCTCAACCTATTGAACTGAAATTTTGCATACACGTTTAATTTAGATGACAATGCATGGTAGGATAAGTGATGTCATTCTAAATCTAACATGGCGGACTCCCAATGTTGGCGGACTATGTTTTTTTTATGCACTCCCATGATATGGATATTAAATGAAAGGTTTTGCTGAGAAGAATACGAATAAATACCTAAAAAAACTATAAATTAAATCAATCCCATTTATTACATTACACAATTTATATAATACGTACTAGCGACTCACGCTCGCTTCGCTCCGGTTCGTCCCGTGGTACGTTTTAAATTATTAATAACGTTTTAAATTATTAATTCTGGACGCCCAGTTGAGGTCCCTACACCCGAAACAATTGATAAAATCCACAACGTGGTGTTGGCCGATCAGAGATTAAAAGTGAGAGAGATTGTGGAAGCCATAAGTATATCACATGGCTCAGTTTCAATTTTGAATGATCACTTGGATATGAGAAAGCTTTCTGCAAGATAGATGCCGCGTTTGCTCACAATCGACCTTCAAAAGGGTAAAACAATCAATGGCGAATATTATGCCAACTTATTGGGTCGATTTAATAAGGGTTTAAAATAAACGACCGCATTTGGCCAAGAAAAAAGTTCTTTTCCACCAGGACAATGCAAGGGTGCACCCATATGCAGTTTCCATGGCAAAAATCCATGAATTGGACTACGAATTGCTCCCTCATCCACCCTATTCTCCGGAATTAGCCTCGAGTGACTATTTCTTGTTGTCAAACCTGAAGAAATGGCTCGGTGGAAAGAGATTTGACTCCAACGAAGAAATCATCTCAATTTTTTTTTTTGGAAGGGATAAAAAAATTAGAGAAACATTGGACAAAGTGTATAAAGCTCAAAGGAGACTACGTTGAAAAATGAAATGATTTTTTATTCAAAAACCTGTATTTCATTAAAAAAGTCACGGACTTATTGACCCGCCCTCGTATGTAGTGATACATAATATACATACAAGCTTGTTTTAAAAAATGTTTTTATAATATTCATTTATTAAGACTGAAGTAAATTAATATTAAAAAAAAGTGTGACGTATAGTCAAGCGCCCTGCAGTAAATATGTATTAAAGCACTTAGCAGCTAAATTAGGTACCTACTAGAGCGCCGTTATTTTGCTGATGAAATCGATTATAATTAATGAATATTGTTAATATTGATAAAACAAACGGACGGATGATTTTTTTTAATATAATGAATTCAAAATTACTTGTTTATTATTGTTTTATAAATTTTTTTTGTGAAAATGTTCAAAAAATGATTTTGAATTATGGACCAACTCCTCCGTTTTCAAAGTAGGTCAAAATTGAATAATAATCTTGAACTTAATTCCGATTGTATTTTTTATCTAAATGTGTTATCAGCAAAGACAAATCGGTATAATTTATATGTACTATTAACTAGCGACTCACCCTCGCTTCGCTCGGATTCGCCCCTAGGTTAGTTCCCCATCCAAACTTTCATCCCCATTTTCACTCCCTTAAGGGATGATTTCCGGAATAAAAAATATTCTATGTCCTTCCCAGGGTCTCGAACTGTCTTCTTACTAAATTCGTCTAAATCAGTCCAGTAGTTTTTGAGTTTAATCGTTACTAACATACAAAAATACATTTTTTTTTCTCTTTTTAATGTAGTGTAAATGAACGGTTTTTCTAGGCTATATGTCGTTTAAAGTACAGCCGCAATAAGGTTATTAGTTACAAGTACATATATAGGTAAGGAGTTGTGTTCTTTACATAATTTTTAATCGATGCTTAGATATAAATATTAATTCATATAGTATCTATCTAATTGATTGGATATTTTTAAATGTTTTATTTTTTATTATTATGTATTATCCTTTTTTATATTTTGTACGATATAAATATATATAGAAATAAAATACATATACGCCTGATATAAACTCTTTAAGTTCAAAGTAAAATATAAGCAAGCAGCAACAGTTCAAGAACGCTGTAAGAAAGTTGCCTAATAAAATAATATTATTTTATTAATTTTCAAAACGTTTTTTTAAATGGACTGACTTCGATTGCTATAAATATTTTTTATGATAATGTAACATGCAAATAAACATACCGATTTTTAATTTAAGAAAATTATATTTAAATTACATAAGTATTCTAATGAAATAATTAACTAAACTTCATGGCTTATTCTTAAAAATAAGATATCAATTATTATATATTTATGCTATTTTACAAAATGCACTTATTTAAATTAGTAATAATGACAAATGGAAAAAAATACTAGATTATTTAATAATTTCACGAGCAAAAGCGTGGACCATAACTAGTTAGTTTCATATAATATATGTAGGTATATTGTAATGTATGTACATTGTACATAGACCTCGTTGTAATTCACACTTGTAATGCGATGCGTGTGCGCAGGTCGGGTGGCAACAGGCTGTCTGCACTCGACAGAATTATTTACGCTAACGTACCTAACACTGAATAAATGTGAATATTATCGATAGATACCTACTAAGTATCATTTATGGTTACGCATCAGTCAATAGGGGATATAAATTATACGTCTACTAAATGCGGCATTGCATTGATTTAAAATGTTGATAATACCTAATCTATTTTTCATATTTTTTCTATACATTTTATATAAAATAATTATATAACTATATAAACAAATATATTTTTTATACAACTTACTACTCGCACTACATAATCTCACTAACTACCAGTTAGTTAGTTTTTAATTTACTTTGATGTTTTATTTTGATTTATCGAACGATATAAAATTATAAGGACTTTATTATTTTTTCAAAAGCTCAATGTTTAGATTATTATCTGTCAATAGGTACCTATATTTTAAAAAAGCTTTTATGAGATTGTTTTGCTACATTTACAATAATTTGATTTAAAAAATTATAAAAACCTTATATAATATTTTATAAGGGACTAAAAGAAATAAGAGTCCATTTGTGCGATACATACATTTAAAGACGATACCATTAACCCTAATTTCTTATTAGAATTATTAAGGATTATTTTTCAGTAACTTGTGCACTTTTCATCCGTGTACACTGTAAACTTTTCTTAACATTTTAAATTTCAAGCAGCGCCATCTATTGATATCATCAGAACTAGAATATCATTAATAGAGCAATCGTGGAATTTCGCGATTATATATATAAATAAGATTTTTTTAAATTAAAACTGTTCATTTACATTTTTCAATAATTGTCCATATTATACTTAAGTTACAATACTTTTGTGTAAGGTCTCTGAAATAATATTCAAAGATATCTAATTGGACATACATGGATTTACAATAATTGTTTTGCCTAGACAGTTTTATACTTGTACTATACATAATAGAAACATGCAAAAATATATACGAGTAACACAAATCGTTGGCTTACTATTGCAAGGTTCTATGTTACAATTTTAGTACTTATTTAGTTATTAATGCTATAAGGTTCTATGTGTCATTAGCTACAGTTTTGCAAAAAGAAACCACTAGATAGCGGCACTAAAACTACAAAATATTCAATTTTACATAGTTCTATGTTGTATTTTTACGATAGCAAAATAACGAAGTTCTATGTAAAAATTACTAAACTTCATTAAAATTTACATAGAACCTTGTAATAGTAAGCCAACGAAATATTGTTGACAATATTTGTACATGTTTTCATGTAAACTAAATGAACTGAAATAAATATAATATTATTTATTAAAAAAACGTTGTGAATCATTAACACAATATTAAAAATAAGTTCAATTTAATTTATTTAATTGTCAATTTATTTTTCAATTCCACTAATATTTTCTTGTATCTGTTTAGAAATATATCATTTCTGAACGCATCGTAAATTCTTAAGTCAAGATACAACTAACGCCACCTATTTACATATTTGGCACATTGTGGATATAATAGTGATATTCACGTAGCTTGTTGAGAAATAAAAATAATTTTGAATATTTCTACTGGGCATAAAATAGTTATATCTTTTAAAATTATAATTAAATGGAATATTTTTATAATTTTTTTAAAACGAATAAAGTTTAGGGCATCAAATTTAAAAAAATGAGAAAAATGTTGCGCCACCTTGCGAATAAAATTGGAAACTCCAGTGAACAAAGAGAGCTAGCTAGCCACTACTAGAAATTAAGGTTGTGTTTTATCTCTGTCTGATAAGTGCACACGTTCCGAGTGCGAAGGGGACGGTGCGTAGACTTTCGGCCATCAATTCATAACCATCTTTCTTTCTTGTGCAACTGTTTCTCGTCGGTCGTGTTCTAGGATCTAGTGCGAACGCAGGATGGACGCCATTCGTGCGAGATAAATTGTGGCTTGCGTAGCGACAGTGCGTGCATCGGTGGCGGGCGTGAGTGCTATATGTGCGTCTGGTGCGTTCGGGTGGCCTCGGTGTGGTGCGTGTGCGGAGAGTGCGGAGAGGACGGTGGGACCGGAGGGCCGGAGTCTGTGAGAGGGATGGCGGGCGCGAGGTGATCGGGCGGCAGCGGCGTCCGCTCGCGCTCCGCCGGCCCCATGCGAGCGCCGGAGGTTTTATGGGTATTTGCGTGAGCTGCCGGCGCCGCGAGCGAAAGGCACCCGAGAAGCGCTGGGTGTCGAGCGCGGGCGGGCCCGCTAAGGGTGCGGCGGCAGAGTTGCTACCGCGACAAGTCCACCTGCCAGCCATGGCAAACTCGATCTCCAATATTAAGATGACCAACCCTATCAAGGGCATGGTGAGCAAGCGCCGAAAACGATATGTGAAGGACGGCTTCAATTTGGATTTAGCATGTATCCTTTTTGTGAGTGTTCTGTGATAAGGTTGGTGAAATATGACTTAAATCTGGTAAGTAGATATCTTATGATATTAAAAAAAGATCGTGAAATTGAAGTATGGTTCTTAGGTTAATTTTCATAGCATTTGATACGGAGAGATTTATAACCTGTACATCGTATTTATTTTTTCTGTATTTAAGGTTATAACGCAAGATAATTCTCAAAATAATCAATTTGCATTGCATCTAGAGTTGTAAACATTGAATAAAACGATTCGATGATAAGTTGTAGTTAGGTTACAATGCAATCTATAAGTAGAAATAGCTATAGATACTGTAGAAACTATTGGTACACGAAAAAGGTAACAGTTCAGTTTAACCATGGTGATTGTACATATATAGATAGCTAAGTATAGACATGATATCTTGCATAGCAACAACTCATAACCTATATCTATAACAGAACATGAATTATGCTGTGCATACATGCTATCAGATTATCATAGTAGGTATCTAGTGAAGATAACTATCACTGAATTCTAAGTTTTTAGGCTAACCCAAGGCCACTTGCTTTTAGCCATATTATGGTTAGGAAGAAAGTTTTGTGTGCTATGTCACTTTCTCTCTTATGCATACAGAGGTCTTTGTTATTTATTTTGTGAATGTAATTATAATATGAAAAATTAACTCATTTATTTGAATTTGTTGCATAATTATAGCTAATGTGTAATTTTTATTACATTTCTACTATTAGCATTTACAACTTTTTTATTATGAACATGAATCACCATTATAATGGCCAGTGTGGACTAGATAAAAAATAATAGAAAGTAGTTCTTTTTATTTTTAAGCTATTTTAATCGGTTAATTTCTTTTTTATGTTTTAATAGCATAGCTATCAGGCTCCTATACTGTTTTTTACTAACACAAAAACAAGTGCTTTTTTTAAATATTATAATTGTTCTTTTTTTCAATTACTCCATCATATTGAATGAAAATTATCAATGTGAATAACTCATATCACTTAAGGGGTGTATAAAGAATGAGAATAACCCATACTCATATTATTCATTGCTAAGTGCCACTAAGTCTGTGTACTTAGTACTTATTAGGTACTCTACAATTGCTAATATATGATCAGTGATAATGTCTGCCGAGATAGTTTTTGTATTTAATAGGTAATCTTTAAATACTTCAGAAATATAATTACATGTGTTGTCATAGAATATAATTATCTGTAACATCTTTATATGGTTCTCAATAAAAATTATATTTTTTATAAAAATTACATTGAAATTAAAATCAATTGCCACTATATATATAATACAATTATAATAAGTTGTATATATTTTTGTAATCACCTCTAAAAAACCGGTATTTTGATACCCCACTCGATTGATATGGATGATTTTTTTTTCAAGACACTAATTGGCGCTTAGGATCCGCCATTTTTATTTTTAATGATATCTATATTATACCCTATGAAATTTTATCAAGATGAATTTATTGACATATAAATTATCAAAATCGGTTTAGCCATAATTACAATAGAATATGGGATCGGACAAACACAATCCTCCTTTAGGATACTTTGCATTGAGGTAAAAAAGTATGATTAAAGTATTATCTTTTAAATAGCTGTCATTAAAACTTCAATTTCTGGTTTCTACTGATAAAACAGATAATTAGGTTGATACATTAAATATTGATTTTTCCATCACAATTATGATGTCTCTTAATTCGTTTATTTTAATTGGATGTCTAATACGATGTTGGATGTCATTATCTGTTTTCAGTGGTTTAAAGAAGATTTTTTAATAAAAAGTACTTTTTAATTTGTTAAGACCATACTCATACATTAGTATATAAGGTTTGATTATACTTAACTGAGTTATATCCAAGCTCAGTAATAATTTTCAACTTCTAATAAAGGAAAAATAACAAAACTAAGAACTAAAAGTAGATGCTCTTATTATTTATTTGCTAAAGAACATATCCATACATAGTGATGTATAGCAAGAATAAGGTACCGTTATTAGAACTTTTTTTGTCCATTAAAATGTCTATAACTTGACTTCATAGGAACATTTATTTGATCCACTTTTATTATAATCTTTACCTATAATACACCAGGCTGTAAATTAAAATTTGCCTTTGGAAATTAATTTATGAGATTTGGTGTTTTTAAACTCAGTGGGTCAATTTTAATCTATCCAATAGGTATATATATGGCTTTACAAAAAAAAAGACTGTAGGTATTATGTATATCAGTTTTTTTGACTCTTTGAGGTTTTGGTGCAATATTTTATGGATATTCTATGCATGTCTATAAATAAAGACAAAATAGAATTGTTATTCATCATATAGAAATGAACTCCACTCAGTATTACCAACTTATATTTTTTTTAACTGAAAACCACTTGTAATCCATACATAGCAATAACATCTTAATGTGAAAAAGATACAAAATTTTCTGGGGAAAAATGATTGTTATAAGTAATTCCAATAATATTAAAGCTAAACCTAAGAGAAACTAAAAGAAAATAAGAATACTTATACATTTAAAATGTTAAATTAACAGGATTAAATTATACGATAATTTGTCATGACTAATTGCTCAAACTTAATTACTCAAGCAAAATAACTAAGTATAGAAACTAGAAATACAATAATCTAAATAAAGTAACCAAAAGTACACATATTTTAATTTCATATAATCAAATAACATAGTGAAAGCTGTAGAATTAATCTATACTAATATTATAAAGAGGTAAAGTTTGTGAGTTTGTGACGTTGTAGGGTAATCTCTGGATCTACTGAACTAATTTAGATGAAATTTAGAAAAAAGATTGTTTGAGACCCTGGGAAGGACATAGGGTACTTTTTATGCTGGAATTCATCCCTTAAGGGGGTGAAAATGGAGATGATAGTTTGTATCGGGAATCAACCTAGGGACGAACCCGAGCGAAGCAAGTGTGTGAGCGACTGCTAGTAATTTTATAGAAGCAATTGTTATGACTATTTGGCTGTTCTTCTTCTTTACTTAATATACTTATTATCATAAATATAAAAAAAAATTTTTTTTTGTATGTTTGTAATGGATAAACAAAAAATTCGCTGAACCGATTTAAATAAAATTTGATATGAATTGAGACCTTAGGAAGGACATATGATAGATTTTATCCCAGAAATCATCTCTTAAGGGGGTGAAAAGGGGGATGAAAGTTTGTATGGGGAATCAATCATTTCTCAAGTAAGGGATGTAAAATTAATAATATATTATAGTCTATCTATTCCATACTAATGGTTAAATTTATAAGCAAACAAAATCATGTATTAAAAATAGCCTGTTACAACAATTATTAGTTATTAAAATCTCTTCTTAAGAGTTTCTAGTAGTTGTAGTAGTAGTGTTGTAGAGGTCTTCTAGTCCTGCTAAGGTCAAGTGTCACAATACTTCTTTACCTTGTAATATGTAAATCAAAATATATTACAGCTATAAATTAATATCATAACTTCCATTATAATTATTTATAAATGACAGATGGAATTGAATTTCGAAATTTTGTTTAGATATGACCTTTAGATCCTTGACCAATTATGATGATTTTTGGTGCACTCATTACCATAGAGTAATGTAATAGCATATTTTAAATCCCGTTCATCCCATGGAGTTTTATGATAGGACTAGCGACTTACCCTCGCTTCGCACTGGTTCGTCCCTAGGTAGGTTTGATTTTTTTTGATTGTGACCCTAATTCTTTCTATAAAATAAAAGTAGCCTAAAGTTACTCCTTATAACATCAGCTATTTGCCAGTGAAAGTCCCGTTAAAATCAGTCCAGCCGTTTCGGAGATTAGTCAGTACAAACAGACAGACGAAAATTTTAAAAATTGTGTTTTCTTTCATAAGCATCTTCCTATGCAATTGGTAAAAAGCTGTTATTTTGAAATTATAAACATACACTTTAATTTTATTTATCTGTATAGATTTGGGTAGCGGCTTAGTGAAAACTATTGATGGCTGTATGAAGAGCATTTAGATTCTTCAGAAAATGAGAACAATTCTAGATTAGTGTTATATATATTATTCTAATTAATAAATATACTAAAGTCTTATTCTTAATAAATTAACTAGCGACTCACCCTCGCTGTGCCGCTCGGGTTCTCCCTACTTACATTTTAGCATTTAGTATGAATTTCTCAGAGATGAGATATTTTCTCGCAGTAAAAAGTATCCTATATGTTGACCCGGATAACCATCTATCATCATAACTAATCATTCATCAAAATCCCTCTAGTGGTTTTTCCGTGATGCGGTAACGGACACATAGACAGACAAAAATTCTAAAAACTATAGATTCGGCATCTGTATCGATAATAATGTCTATTTCAATAAGATTTTCCAAAAAATATTTAATGTACAGATTCGACTTACTTAGTTAGAATTTTGTTATATGTATAGATATTTATATTGTCCTTCCATAAATAATAAAGGTACTTAATTATTATTTTTTCATTTATGATTGCTGAGTTTTCATATCATTTTAAGTTACATTCGATATCTAGGTTTCAGGACTAGATATTTTATATGTACTGTTATTTTATCAGCTTGCGTGGTTCATTGACCCGCTTGCACGCAAAATTGACGATTTAAATGCGTTATACCACTATCGATACTACGTTTTTATTAACCACGCATTAAATTAAATTTGTCAGACATAAATAATCTTTACATATAATTAAATTCTAACTAAGCTGAATCTGTACATTAAATAGTTTTTGGAAAATCTTATATGTTTTTATTGATACAAAGGCCGAATCTGTAGTTTTTAGAAATTTTGACTGTCTGTCTGTGACCACATCTAATAAAACCACTGGATAGATATTGATGAAATATGGTATGATGATAGCTGGTTATCCGGGTCAACATATACGATACTTTTTACTGATAATAATCTCATCTTTGAGCTATACGTTAAAACGTAAGTAGGGACGAAACCGAGCGGAGCGAGTG